GGACTATGACCAGGAGGTGACACCTAAGCTGAATTGGTAAAGCGGATACTGTGCTACCTCCACCAGCTGAACCTTAAAAAAAACAAAATAACTCACCTTGCATAGGTACATGGTCTCTTAAAACCAGTAGATGCCACTTAGATGTAACAACATACAAGGACCATAAAAAGTTCATAAGCTTACCAAGACACTCTCATGGAATGTAACCAAATGAGGTTTATTTTTCAAAATAGTCCCCCTTTCGGTTCACACATTTCTTTCATCAGTGTTTCAGTGCTTGGATCCCATTGGTGACAATACTTTCACCTTGTTGGTCAAAAATGTCATCAACAGCATATATGACATCATCATCGCTACAATACTGGTTCCAGCCAAGTGTTTTTTCATGTTGGAGAACAGTTGATAGTCAGATGGGGCCAAATCAGGAGAATAGGGAAGGTAATCAACCAGTTCAAAGTTACAGTCATGCACAGCAGCCATTGAAACCAAGGACTCATGTGCTGGAGCATTGTCCTGATGAAACAAGAACACTTTCATCAGTTTTTCTTGTCTTGAGAGCCTTTCATAACTACTTCAGCAAGTTGGCATAGTGCTCTCTATTGATGGTGTGGCCTTTTGAAAATAATCAATAAACTCGATACCTTTTGCATTACAAAAAATTGAGGCCATCACCTTCCATGCACATGAAACAACCTTATCCCACTTTGGAATAGGTTAGGAGGTGTGTTTCCATTGCATGGATTGTTTTTGGCTCAAAGTAAACCCAACATTTATCTTAGATTAGGAAACACTCAAGGAAACCAGTTGGATTTGCCTCAATGTTAGATTTTCCGATGATGTGATCAGCTTGCTGAGTTTTTTGATCAGGTGTCACCCACCAAGCAAAAACAGTCATCATGCCAGAATATTTTCAACTCTCTCATGAATTAATACTGGTTATTTGATTTTTAATCAATTACCTGTCATCTGTCACTATGTGGTGAACATGATCAATGTTTTCTTCGGTGGTGAGAGTTACAAGATATTCAAACCTTGGGTCATTTTCAAAAATTCTTTTTCCCTCCTTCCCAATTTTGTACTGTTCATAAACCTGGAGCATCATCCCCTAATGTAGCAACCATGTCAGCATGAATGTCCTTAGGGGCTAAACCCTTTTTCAGTAAGTACTTGATAACATCATAATGCTAAATTTTGTCCATTTTCAAGAGAAGTCATTAATACTTTTGAAGTCATCTTTGAACAGTCAAATATCAGTTTACATGGAAAGAAACAATGTAGTTATTAATAAGAAGAGCTGTAATTAATTCATACAAGATTTCACAGCTCTAGCATCACTCCTTCATAGTCAGCCTATGAACTTTTCAGCCAACCCTTGCACACATTGCAATTGTTAAGAATAACATTTGGTATGTGTTAGTTGAAGAGAAACTCAAATTGATATATTAAAAAGGCAAAAATTGTTCTATCATCTGTTATATAAATATGGCAATTGATCTTGAGCATGAACAGGAATTTTCAACATATATGGAAAGATGATATTTAAGCTTCTGTCTTATAAGGGATGTTTCATGATTGCTAATGTTACTCATAATTTACTTCATAATTTCTATAAGCAAGGTTTCTCATGTTAGGTAGTTTTCATGTTTGCAATAATTACTATTTTCTTTTTTTAAATTTTACAATTTGTTATTATACTACTACTACTTGGTGATTGAGTAAATAATATTAAGTAGACATTCCTATATAGGATACAGTGATTTTGTAGACTGTTTTTAATATATCTTGCATAACATTAAATATGCATATTCGAATAACTTTTTAGTTATTTTTAATTGACACCTTTTAAAATAAAAACATCTGATATAAAATAAAGGTGAAAAAGTTTGAGCAAATCAGTCACAGTTTTTATTTTGTGTTCTTATTTCTGATTACATTCCTAAAATTCTCGGAATAAAGAAAAAAATGAAGACTAAAAATAGATTAATCAGTTACAATTCAATATAACATCTGGGAATGTGTAATATTTAAACATATCCCAAGTTTTCTCTATTTCAGCTCTCGACATTGGACCTTCCTTTATGATGTTCTTCAGTTATTGATACCATTGAAAAACTGCCTTGAAATTCCAGATTGGGATCATGAAGTGAGTCTGTTTCCACAACAAAATGTCTTTTGAGGTTTTATGTCAGTAGAAACAAATTTATCACATGTCATAAAAATCTTCTAGTTTTATTTTAACTGGTTATAAAAGCTTTACATTTGTTATTTTATAACAACTTTTTTAATAACATTTTATTTCAGACATACTGTATTTATGGTGACTATAATGCACAACTTAAATAAATTAGTTTTAAATGTCTTCAACTTTGTTATATTCTTTAGCTAAAAAATGCATCAGTAAATAAATAATAGTGCATATATATATATATATATATAGTCAACGATGAAACCATTCGTACACCCATCAATTTTGAATATTTTTATCCATTTCTCAGAATCTAATGCTGGTATGATGCCAGTTTTTTTGTATGTTAATAAGCACAAAAAAGAAATATAAAACTCAGAACAATAGTTTAAATACAACAATTTTGACAGGCGAATTATGCAAAATAGGAAAAGACAAAATTATTCATGCAGTATGAAAAATAGAAAAAAAATGGAACAATTTTCACAATATTAATAGTCAATAGTCTCTCATCTTTACCACTTGCTGCAATAATTTTCTAAAGTTTTTGATGCGATTTGAATAAGTCTTTTCTGGAATTTTCTTCCGTTCTTCACTGGTTACATGTTTTAACTCCTGAAGCTTTTTTGGTGATCAATTTATTTGAACTTTCAAGCCTTGCCATAGATTTTCAATAGGATTTAAGTCAGGACTCATTGAAGGCTATGGCAGAACTGTAATTTTCTTTTTCTGAAGCCACACAATCACTAATTTAGACATATATTTGGGGAAAGTAAATCACTGACCTAGATGAAGATTTTGCACTGATAGTTGAAAATTTTCAACCAGAATTTTGATATAGTATGCAAATTTCATTATTCTTTTTATTGCAATTAATTGTGCAGTCACCCTTGAACTAAAACAATTCCAAAACATCATTGAACTACTTCCATGATTTAATGTTGCCACTGTGTTCTTTGGGAGGAAAACCTCACCTTTCTTGTGCCAAATCTTCTGTACATCATTATGTCCAAAAATCTCGATTTTTGTTTCATCACTCCGTAGTACTTGTTCCCAAAAACAATTTTCTTTGTCCAATAATGCTTTGACAAAATTAAACCCAGCAACAATGTGACATGGTTTGTGAAGAGGGGTTTGTTGTGGTAGGCTTCCATACAACCCATTTCTATTTAATCAACATATTGTGCAAGTACTTACACTGATACCCATCATACCTAAACTTTTGGCGCTATCCTTCAAATCAACTCTTGAGTTTATATTAGCCTCGTGACACAGTTTTCATGCAGTTCTCAGTGACAATTTGGGTTTTCTTCCATGTTCAGGCAAATTCTCTGCCATGCCAAACTGTTTAAACTTCTTTATAACTGACTGTATTGTAGATCTAGGGTCAGCTAATCAGTTTCAAATAGTACTGTAACTATTTCCTGACTTTTGGAAGTTAACTCTCTGTCTCAAGTCAATGCTAAGTTCCTTTGTCTTCCCCATGTTGTTAATGTAAGAATAACAAGGGTGACATTCTATGCAGCATGTGATGTTCTTTTCTGTAATTATGACAAATATTCTACTGAATAAATAGCCTAGCAGGCTTCACCAATAAAATAATTATGCAAATAACTTATACTTACATGAATCAATCAATTTAAAATGATATTTTCTACTGTACGACTTTTGTCTTTTCTTGTTTTGCATAGTTCACCTGTCAAATTTGTTGTATTTAAACTATTGTTCTGAAAATTAAGTTTTATATTCCCTTTTTTGTGGTTATTAACATATAAAAAATCTGGTATCATATGGGCATCATTAGATTCTGAGAAACGGATAAAAATATTTAATTGATGGATGTATGAATAATTTTGTCGTCGACTATAATATATATTATACACACCTATATATGTTCAATAGGTCCAAGGATAAGAGCTGTAGAAGATGCCTTCATTAATGTAAAAAAATCTAGAAGAGTGGCCATTCAAAACAACTTTTTTTTTCTTTGTGATTTGATAAAAAAGACTGAGTTCAAAAAATATGTCCAGAAATACCATAACCTTTCAACTTGTGAAGACCAGTATGCCAAATTCTGTCAAATGGCTTCAAGATATCCAAAGGATTAAGTTATAATAGAGATAAAAAAAAAAAAAGAGTGTTGCTCACCTGCTGACTGTTGTAGTTGTCATAGTGGCTATTAGAGTATTTTTTTTTTTTTCATACATGTAGAAAAATATTTTACTGACTTTGAGACGATTTTGTCCAGATATGGTAGTTTTGAAATTTGCAATTTTACTTTTTACATTGGGTTTTAATCACAAATTTGTCAGTAAATTTTTATTTTTGTTGAAAAATATTATTTTTATGTCTGCGTGCATGGTATGATAGGTAGAGAAGTTGGTTGACTTACTATTTTTTTTTTTTTTTTTTTTTTACTGGCACTTGGTTTTCTTTCAAAAAATATCTATAGTTGATTTTTAGTTCTGCATGTTCGTATCATGTCAAAGTCATCAATTGTAGATGTTTGTATTTGATTTTATACCACTAACAGAAGTTGAATCATACTAAAGAAAGAGAAACCAAAAGAGTTAATTTTAATGGACAACTATTGAAGCATTTATGAAGATGCTTTAAATGGATGTTTAACAATTGATTAAATCCAAGAGATTTCTGTTTACCTTTTTGAATTATTCTTTTTGTCATCTCATATTATTCAATCTTGATTTGATTTTATCCTTTTAGCCTGTAGTGACACCAAATTTTATGCCAAACTGTTCACATGTTTAGCAATATGTATTTTACTTACTTACCTTTTAAACAGCTTCAGCATTATATGAAAAGAATATGGAGCCATTTAAGCGCTGTGAAGGACAAGTTATATGTTGATATTTTGGGGATCCTGAAGCAGATTTTTCCCAGTGTAAGTACTTGACGTTTCTCATTCTAATGATATTTTTTTTAGCTAGTATTAAGGCGTTATGATAATGGGAAAAGACTTCATTGTATACAAAACTCGGAATCTCATGAACAACAGATATTAATAAGATTATGTATTGTGGATTCAAAAGTCAATCAAAATGATCAAAAGTGCATATTATGTTTTTAATATTTGATTTTTTTTTTTTTTTTTTTTTTAAATATATCAATTATTGGCTAATAAGATTAATTTTACTGGTATTATGGATAGACAACTGAACTAAAAGGGCAAAACCTAATAGATACTTATAATACAGTATTTTTAATTGATTAAGAGAGCACTGTTAGTATATGAAATTGTCACAGAAAGAGGATAAGGAATTAGAATAATTTTAGAAAATGTAAAAGGGAGGAAAATACTGAATATTACTCAGTGTAAGAAATTAAGCACAATACAATCACTTGAGTAAAAAAAAATGTGGTTGTAAAGGAGGAAATAGTTAAATTAATGTAAACCTGAAATGTCTATTTGTTAGCCTAGAAAAGGCTACTCATGTTCAATACATTTTGTGTTGAAATCATATATTTTTATAAATTCATTATAATATCACACAGAACTGATAGCTAGTTGTTTATAAAAGAAAAAATATAATTTACTTACAATTCCTAATGAGATCCTTTTATTCAAGGAAGTAAAATGTTTGTGTGTGTGTGCATATATATAATATATATATATATATAAGCAGTGTGTACACAGAGATCAACATTAAGTGATAAGTCTGTTTGATGCTTGAATGCAATCTTCAGTCCTGAAAATTGTTCAAGCATAAAACAGACTGTTGTCACTCAGTGTTGATTTGCATCCACACTGCTGATATTTACATATTGATTACTTTTGCCATATAAATATAGCATACTTTTTAAAACTATATTTTATCATATGTCAAATTATGCAGACAAGAAATACAATCTTCCATTTTCTGCACTTTTTTCATAGGTAATTCTTTATGTAGAAAAAGAAGCTGACTTGACATTTCCAAAGTCACACCCAAAGAGATCAATGTCTCCAAGAAATCCAGCATCAAGTATGAGTCCCAGACCACTGTTCCTCAAAAGTAATTTGGACATTTTTTCAACAAAAATTACTGTAAGTCAACCTATTGTCATACTAAATTAATAAAAGAAAAAAAAGTAAAAAATAAGAATCATATGAAAATGAGGAATTACCATTATTATATGCCTTTTCTTTCCGCCTAGTAACTCATCTTGGCCGTTATTTATTTATTTTTTTTTTTTTTTTACTAAATTAATAGACAGAAAAACTTTACTAGAAACAAAGAAGAGTACTGAACTGTTATGTGATATCTGTCCTCCTATATGGCAGTGAATGCTGGACAATTTCTTCAGAGATGAAGAGACTTGAATGAACAGTAATGTGGTTCTACAGAAACTGAGTATACTATGGACCAAACATGTAAGCAATGATGAGGTTTTAGAGAAAATGGAAATAAAAATGAAACTTATACTTAACATCAGGTAGAGACAGTTTTAAGTTTCTTGAGCATGTAATGAGGAAGGAGGACTTGGAAAATCTGATACTCACAGGATAGATTGGGAGAAGAGGAACATAGGAAAACAGCACATAATATACTTGATGCACTAGAGTAAATGGATGGTTTGAGAGAAATAGCAAAAAGATAAAACTTATTAAGATCTACAAGGGACACAGCACATAAGAATGTTCACTCTATACAAATCCCAAGAGTCACTCTAAATAGAGGGTTACTGAAGGACATTGTTGAATGAGTGGTAAGAGATAAGAAGTGAAATTTATGAGCATATGTGTGAATGATAACAGTTAACCTTAGACTTGAAGAGGTTAAGATTGTAATGATTAAGGAAGCACCATCTTGGAAGTCTGTTCCATAAAGCAGCAGTTTGTAGGGAGAAGCTGTTCAAATGTATGTGGCATGTCGGGTCCTAGCTGTGAAGGTTAGAACTGGTGGAACTAAGGAATATAGACCATCTGAACATTTTCCATGGAAATAACGATAGAGTAACTGAGAAGCTTGGAATGTTTTGTCCGTAGGAAAAGGGTTGTTGTCAACTTTATCTCTTATTCAAGAATTTAATTTCTTCTTTGCTGATTGATTCCTTTATGATGATGGTGTTGATAACTAAATTTGATGCCAATGTGATGGTTCAGGACTTGAAGCTTCCAGTTCCACCAAAACCTGCTCCCATCATCCATTCCCTATCACTGTTTGGTTTTGCAAGAATTGGTTGAAGGTGGAAGAAAATTAGAGTAGGAGAAAGTGCCAATGGCATGAATTTGTTTAAGATGAACCTCAACTTACCAGGAAGTGAACCACACACTTGATTTGATGACCTTCCTCTGCGACTCATGGAATGAGACATGCAGAATCCAGTTATGAAATTTCAACAGACTGCTGCTGACTGTTATAATTCCAAGTGGTGCCTTCTATAGCATGTCTGTCATGTGTAGCCTTCTTATTCCACAGATTCAAATGTTGAGATCTGTTGTAATCATCTACTTCTTCTATCCATTGGGATCTTTAGGGTTGGTCACATTTAGTTTGGGTCCTCATCTTTGACCATGCCAGCAAGGGTAACTCTACCAAGAGTTTAAAACTCTTGGCATCATTGTACTCCATCATTGGGTCTAAGCAAGCCCCTCCACGACAACAAGGAGTGACCATCAGGGATGAAAGGGGTTGTAGGTATAAAATAATTCATCACCCACAAGGCAGTGTAGATTTGACCTCTAAGACTAGAAAGGGAAAACTGGGCAGCTTCAGCCCAGATATGGCAGCATTACCCTATTTTCAGTCTGAAAAGGTAGAGGATATCAGGTGTCGGGTACTTACTGGAGTGATACAGGAAACCAATTGTTTTTCCAGAATCTTTATTAATGGATCATATGAATTCCACTTGTTGTACTCTTCAGCATTCTTCAGATATATTACCATATTTGGTAACCTTTTAAAGGCTTCAATTCAAAGTTTTGAGAAGGCTACTAAGTATGATTGTCATCCAAAGAATGCATGAAAGCGCAACAGCTGAAATATTGTGAATGTAACAACCAAAATGTGTATGCTGCTCTGAATTAATGAATCATTAACAAATTTAATTTAAATTAGGCTTCTAAAAACAATCTTTCAAAATCATTAATGAATCTTATTTTGCTTTTTGTGAGAAAAAAAAAGCTTAAATGTAGAGGATTTTTTTTTTCATAGCTGTAAAGGGTGAGTGAAGAAAATTCATTTCTGATGTCAAAGAGAGGAATTATTTTTTTTCATATTTTCATTTCACTCCAAGGAAGGCAATAAAGCCACTAAGATACAAGAGATTGCTGATTGTAAAAGCATAAGAAAAAGGAAAATATTGAGAGAACAATAAACAAAGAGGAATCAAGAAAGCATTATAACGATTGACATTGCATTTAAATTTTTAAAGATCAGAGTTAACTGGAAAGTGAGTAGCTGGAAGAGAGTTCCACAAGGGAGAGGTGCAACAGAAGAAACTATTAACATAAAACTTGCAGTTACATCTAACCATTTCAATTGTAAAAGGATGAGACTTTGCTGTCAATCTAGTACGGCACTTAAAGTCCTTACTTATCATAGAGGAAAGCTCATCAGAACAATTACCATGAAAGTATTTATATAAAAGGTTCAGGGAAGCTATGTTGTGGCAGTGAGAAAGTGACTGAAACCCAGATGCCAGGTCTGGGCCAATAACATTGCAGATTCTTCTTTGGATTTTAAGAATCTCTAAATATATAGTAGGCACAACAAACCATATGTGGCTACAATATTCAAAGCAAGAACAAATGGTGGACTTATAAATGTTTGCCTATGTTATAGACAAGCGTATGGTTGCAAGAAAGAAATATGACAACAGCAGAAATAGATTTACGTGATTTATTTCAACAGGAATGTGTGGGTTTGGGACAGCTACCTTGTGGTAAAGTTCATAAGCCGGCTTCGAATCTGGGTTGATCTCTCGTAGTAGTTCACACTGGTTGATGCTGGCGCTCCTGCTGCTGGCTGCTGCTGACCGCTCAACCTGACCGTGACAGGTCTCTTCCCTGGCCTCCTGTTGACTGCCGTTGTACTTCCGTGTGACCCCTTTCATGGCATTTTTTTTATTACTTGACAGGCTCGAAAAACGATGCAAGTATAATTAGGAGGGAAGCATTTTTATTGGTCGAAAAATAGAAACACTTTAAAATATTATTTTATTTTTCGACCGGAACTTGTGCGTCGGGAACATGCGTAAATGAAGATAATGGCCATTTTGTGACGGGGCCTTGCTCTTGAGTAGGTTAGTTTATTTCCCCGTAAATCAGCCGAGATATGTCTTATTTTATTTTATAACACCTATTTGTGTGTGTGTATTTATGTTAAAGCACCTTAACTTGTTTATCAGAAAATATTTTAATTCAAATAAAAATTGTACAAAAGAAATTTAATCAACAAATGTGGTTAGTTTATATCTGTTTTCTCTAAATCTGTTGATGAAAATAAATTTTCTATTCTCTTTTTGCTCTTTTTATTACTTGAATTTTCTTATATTTTGGGTTCTTTTTGCATTTTTGCAAAAATTACATTTTGAAAGAGTATTTTGTTTTTCTCAATGCTTTATCAACTTTTATTTTTCTCCATCTTTAAAAGTATGATCTACATTTCAGCTTAATGAAGAGATGTCTTTATTTCCAAAAGCAATGACTGTTTTAGACCTCCACCGTTCAATTGGAAGTGTAGCCTATGATATTGCTGCATGTAAGTACTTTTCAAATATGGAAAACTCATACACTCCAAATAAAATTACAACACTGTTATATATATATATATATATATATATATATATATATATAAAACCATTTATTTTATCTTCAACATCATCACTTGATAAGACACCGAGTGTTGAAACAAAATAGCTATTTTTGTAGTGATTTTATAACATACTTATGTTATAATTTTTTTATAAATAATAATTATATATATATATATATATATATATATATATATATATATATACAAACTTCAAACTTGGAAATGTAAAATGTGATTCAGATGGATTTGGGAAATCACTGATTTTGATAGTTCCTAACTGCAAAAGAAACAATGATTTAAATTAGGAATAAATAAAAAATTTTTTAAACTTTTGGTATTGAAACCTGGTTAGTCAATGTTGGTCTTTTTTATTTATTGATCATTTTGTTTATACATAATATAACATAAAAGAAAAGATTTTTACGTTTCCAAAGCATTATTTTTCAAATGCTTTCTAACATTAACATCTACTGAAACATTTAAAATAAAAATTACTGCTTTTATTTATGTTGAGCCATTTAAGATTTTCTTTTATTCACATAATCTGTATCAGTAAATCTATAATCTATATATTTTCCTTCATTATATCTTCAATATCACTACTTTTTTTTTCATTTATTCACTATGATTTAAATTTGTGCACCTGCTGATATTTTTTTTAAAGAAGGCTACTGAGCTGAATAGAGATTAATGATTGAAATTATTGTAAAATATGGTAAGGCTGTGCTGAGGATGAGGGGGGAACACCTAACCAATTAACTGCTCTCCCAAGAAAAATGTGGTAACAGGCAAATAAGGTAAAGAGATGGGAGGAAATGAAACAATACTGCCTCAAAAACCAGTGCAGCAGGTGGCATGCAACTTTAGGAACAAAAATGTCCAATGGAATGACTCCACAAGACTTCTTGATCTATTTTTAGTAGTACTTTTCAATGTTTAAAAAAAATTTTAAAAAAGAGATAGCAACTTCAAAATGTGTACCCGTTAAAAATAACGTTTATAGTAATAGGGAATATGGTTGGATTAAAAGATTCCATTAAAAAAAAAAAATGAAATGGACATTATCAAAAAGTTCTCAAATTGTACATTCGAGTGATTGTACTATTCAACATAAATGCATGTTTAGCTAATATCCATTGTTACCTCACCTATTGAGTCAGTCTGCTAATAGTTTTCATATTATGTTCTTTTATTATGTAAGGTTTTATAACATTTTGTTGCAATGTCTCTGCAATCTTTATAATGACTGAAATATTTAAGCTGCGTACCTACATCAAATTTAGCATGAAGCTTCACAAATCTCCTACTGAAACTCTCAAAATGCTTTATCAGGCTTTTGTTAATTTTTCTTTTTTTTTTTTTTTTTTTTTTTTTTTAGTCAAACATAGGTTTTTGATTGGCATGAACATTTCAAGATAATGAGCATTCAAGGTGACCAATCACCAGTAAAACACTAGAAAATGCGGTAAAAGAAATCTATCTCCTTCATGAGAACTGTCATTGAATAATCCATGATGTCTTTCACACGAGTGGAATCATTTGTAAAATCTACCAGGAGAGCCTCATGAAAATCTTAAAAACTTGTCTATTAGACTTATCAAAGAAAACTCGACTATTTTACTTAAGAGAGAAAGTAATATGGCTGAATTATGACCTCCATTGTAATGATTATTTTTTTCTGTAATCTTTAAAAATCTTTTTAGATGAGTCATTTTGGGGAAGCTGCCATGGGCTGACTGCTCAAGCAGTCAATGTTAGCCTTCCAGAAGAGGTAAGGAAGTCAAAATGTTGATTAACTCTTTTAGTAATTTATTGATAAGCACTCTCTGTAAAGAGTGTGTTCCAGTTAATCTATTGGCTCTCAGGTTTCATGTTGAAACTGTAATGCATCATAAAAAATCCACTATTGAGAAAATGGTAACATGATAAACACAACATAATAAGTGATTGTGATCAAGTCAGACATTTCAAAGAAGTGTATACATGAAGGATTCTAGCTCTTTTGCTATTTCATATGAATAACTGAAGAATAAAATATGGTCATATAAATGTACTTGTCATCAATTATTTCAGGGATCCTTTTATAGTGACCTTTTGGTTGATAAAGTTAAATTGATATATGTGCACTACAATTCTACTATTTAGTGAGTCTTGAGTGAGGGACAGCAGTAGTTACTAAGCAAATATTCTGCATTTATGGCATCTCTTGGATTAACTGAATATACTTGCATCATGTGTTACAAATATTAGTTACAGTGATTGCCAAAATTGTTGGCACAGTTCATTAAAAAGTACTTTTTGTGGATATAATTAAATTTTGACATGGTAAATAAAAAGAAAAAAAACATTTTGCTAAATCTACTCTGCATTGCATCCAGCAAAACATTTTGAAAATTACTTAAAACCTAAATAATCAAACAAAAACTTTAGAAAGGCCCAAATTATTAGCACGTTTAATTAATATTCAAGTGTGCTTTCCTTTAAAGAGATAACTTTCTGTAATCTTTACTGGTAATTTTTCGTTAAGTTTGCACTTATTTTCTTTCATTCTTCCTGAAAATAGCCTCTGATTCTTGGGGTTTCTCGGATCCCTTTGCCTTTTAACTATCTCCACAAATTTTCTTGCAGATTAAGGTCTGGAGCTTAAGCTGGCAATGGTAAAACATCAATCTTATTTGTCTCTAACCATTTCTCTAAACTCTTAATAATGGTGTATACTGTTAAGAAAATGAGACATACTGGCAATATTGTCATGCCCTTCATCATTCTTATGATACTTGACAACTTCATTTCTAAGTGCAACTAAGAACATTAAGTTCTTTTTGTATTTGACATGGTGACAGTTGTTGTAGGCACGGGAGACAATTCTGAATTGCTGATCAATTTCTATTCTTTCATGTCAACAGTGTATTTGATATTGTGACAGTTGAGTGGCAAAAGAGAAAGTCACTTACTGAGAAAATGGGCACATGTGTTCTGTATGATATTCAAAAGACAAAATAATCAAAATAGAAACACATCATTTATAGCTGTGGCCATAAATGTTTGTCCTCTCCAACCATCAGCCAATGAAAAAATTGTTCTGTTGATAAGAGATTGGTGTTCTCGAATTGGGACAGTTGTTTTTATTTTGCTGCCTTGTCCATCAGCTTGCATGTAACTGTTGACTTTTATGTTGGATTTCACAATCTGGTGACAACTGCATTGACAAGATTCAGCCAGTGTCATCAACCAAAGGTCCTTTTTTTTTTCTTTTTTTTTTTTTTTTTTTTTAAAGAGTTGTTCTGCTGAACTTCTCACTGACAATGACACTGCTTTCTGTAGTAATCCATTCAAGTAGGGGGAATCCATATCTGTTTCTGCTTGCAGATTTCCCCTCTGGTAACAGGATAGTTGAAGTGCAAAGTGAATTGCCAAAAGGAAACAATGCTCAGTGATGGAAGCCATTTGTTGGCTCAACATTACACACTGTGACATGTCACCTTCCACCATGCCCCACCAATGAGATTTAACATTATAGAGTCTTGGCACTAGGTATTGATAAAACACCTCCACCAAAGCAAGAACATGGACAATTGACATATGGGCTAAGGAACAGTGTGTGAGTAAAAACCTCCTCAAAACTGGTGTACAACTTAATATCAAGCGGGATCTGTCACAGAGATTAGAAGTCTGCACATGATTTGTGTTGATGGGATGACATGCCATGTGAGGAATCTGCACCCCTTTGTCAATTCCAACACCTCAACAATTGATGTCAACAACAAGTCCTCTAACAATGAGGGACTGATCAAAATAAGAGATGCTTCTAGTGGAAATGCATCTGATGTTCCTTTGGAAGGCAATTCATTGGGTGAGGAGACAGTAGTTGTTCCTTTGAGAAGAAGCACAAGGCTTAAGAGACCCACACCCCCTAGTTGTCACCAGTGGGATCATGAGATTGAGGGTGGGAGACAGAAGAGAAAGTCACTTACTGAGAAAAAGGGCACATGTGCTCTGTATGATATGCTGAAGATGAAATAACCAAAATACAAACAAGTCATTTGAAACTGTTGCCATAAATGCTTCTTGAATATGCTAATATTGCTTGTTCTTTCCAAATGTCAGCCAATGAAAAATTTGTTCCTTTAATAAAAGTGGTTGGTGTTCTCAAATTGGGACAGTTGTTTTTATTTTGCTACTTTGTCCATTGGCTTGTATGTAACTGTTGGTTTGTGTGTTGGATTTCTAACCATTTACATGTATTGGGATTTTTGGCATGGGACCTGCAATTCATGATTTCAACATTGCTTCCTGTCCCTGAATCTTCAAGTTTGGACTTGCAATTTGTTTATTTTGTTGTAGAATTGAGCTGCTATATCAATTTTTGAACAAGTTGTTGAAGGCATGAAAGACAAATCTGAATTGCTGATCAATTTCTATTCTTTCATGTCAACAGTGTTTGTATTTGATATTGTAACAGTTGTTGAGATACAAATCTGTATTGCTGATGAATTGTTGTTCTTTGAAGTCAATAATATTTTGCATAGAATCTTCTAAAATCTTCTTGAGGTTGTATATTAATGTTCTTTTTATAAATACATGAATTTTCTTGCTTTAAAATGATAAAGCTATAACTGTGCTAATAATTTTGCCATTATTAAATTCTTTGGTCATTGACTATTTGAGTTTTCCAAATTTTTGTTAGATTCAATGTATTGGGAGTAAATTCATCAAGATATTGTTTTTATCATATTAAGATTTAATTATATCCACAAATCTACTTTTTATTGAACTGTATAAATAATTTTTAGTATCACTATAAATGTCTCTTTGATTCAATAAACTAATTAAACAGTACCTCTTATAATTTGATTTTTCTTTGACTTTTTTAAAGCATGGACAAAAATGGAATATTCAAAATGTTGTTTCAATATGAAAGCTATGAAATATATCTCAGCTCATTTAAATTTGTGAAAAATGAAAACTAAATTTAGGAATTTTCTTATTAAAATTGATTCTTTCAATAAATTTGAGTGAGGAAAAATATGTTATGTAGGCAGTTTCCTTGTATTTAAAATTTGCCCAGACTTATGAAATACGTCAACATTTTTCAATTTATTTTTAATTTTTAGAAGGATTAAGTCATACACAATTTGAACACGCCTCCCACCACAACACCGGATATAATTTTCATTCATCATGATAGATTTCTTTGTTTTATATAAGCTTTTTGCTGTTTCATTTATATAGCAGATAAAGTTATCAAATTGTATATAAAAAACTTTAATTAATAGACTTTTGTTAATTGTAAACAAACCAGTTTTATTCTGAAGCCGCATGTTCTTTGTAAATAAAAAAAAAAAATCTTTTGTTTCTGGTCAGGCAAATAAATATCACATCAAAGTATGGCTTTTATCAAATTACCACATTCTGTAGAAATTAAGAGGATTTTGTATTATGCCAATATTTTTAATCTACATTAGAAGTCTACATGACATCTATGATATGTTCTGCCAGGAAAACAATATATGACTCTTTTCTATATAATATCAGATTCTTGAACAAAAACCAAAAAGTGAAGAGAAGAAAATTGACGAGAAACCAGCTGAAGACATGCCTACAAAAAAGTCAAAATCTCCAAAAAAGGTAAATGCTTATTGTTTCATTCAAGAAGTGATAATGACTGAATCAGAATTTCATTTAACCCTTTGAATACCAATCAAAATTAAGCCTGCTTTATCCAAACAACTTATCTCATTCATATCATCTATGTATAGAGATTAGTATTTTGTTTTATACTTGCTACAAGAGAAAAATATCTTTGCCAATTATTTAAAAAAATACTAAAACCACAGTATTACTTCTAGTATTAATAAAGAAAATTAAATTTAACTATTATTCATTGTACATCTGTATTGTTTTGATGGTATTTATTTTTGTGGAATAATTTATTTTTATTATAGTCACTTCTCTTTTGTGAGATAACTCAGCTACCACCCTCCCATAAAAAATGTTTTCTGTCAGAGAGGAAGGTGCAGTATATTTACTATAACAGAACTTGTATAATTATAAATAAATTTTTAAAATATTATTAAAAGAAAAAAGATTTTGCTGATATTCTCTTTTCTTTCCAGGTTGAACCATTGTTGGTGCTATCTGGCCGTGAAGCAGTTGAGTACTATATCAAGTGCCAATTCCTTCAAAAAGTAGAACATCTGTATTTTAACCTTGCACCATCGCACCACTTCAGACCTTATCATTTAGTGTCTGTGCCCAAGGACAAAGTAAGCACTATATTACTTTTTATAGACAATCATCTACAGAATAACCTAAAATTTACCAGTTATGAATATAGTTTCTGCATATATATATATATATATATATATAATGCAAAGAAAAGGGGGGGTTGTTTTTGTTTTTTTTAAATTATTAATTAATGTGACAGATTTTTATTACTTAAATGTTATTTTTAGAGAATACTTGTATTTGAGTGGACACTCCATTTATTTATTAAACAGTATATTTATTTATTTTTGTCTACCTGCTTGAATGTTCAAGAAATCTTATTAGAGAAAAATATGCACTCTCTGGCAGGATTTGAATCTGCATTCCTCTAGGGGAAACTATCATTAGATCTGACATACTTTGAAACCTTGGTTACTGATTGCATCGATGACCAAACAAAACTGAATAGTGCCTTTAAACTCCTGTCTACTCAAATATGAATATCCATTCAAAATAACATTTAAGTTATATATATATATATATATATAAATATATATATATATATTAACAAAATGAAACCAAGAAAAGAATATGCTCTAAGCCAAACATAGATCTATTTCAGTCTCTGAAGAGAGGTATTTTATTTTCATTGCAATATTAATGACATTCTAGTATTTAACTCATCCACTCATTTATTTATAGTCAGTGAACCAAAATGAATACAAACTGGTATTACACTATTATTAGTGTTGATTTTACCAGCAAATGAAATCTACAATTCGTAGCTGGGTGAAATGAAGTTAAACTTGCAGGTATATGAAAATCCAGGAAAGGTGACCTAATTTAGCTTTTACAAACAAGTAAGAGATGCCACAAGATTACCTGGTTTAAACAAAATAAACTTGCTTATTTTGAAATGAATCTTGAAAGGAGAGAAGTAGACCTACAATTTGAGAAGGGAACACAATTAAGAAATACAAAAAGTCTAGTTGTCTGGCAGTCAAGATAATACTTGATGGATTTATCTACCATGCAAGGTGTTCAGCTAAGAAAATATTTGCTTGTTATATATAGAAAAAAAGAAGGCTTTTGTTTAAGAGATTAATAGGTTTGCTCAATCCCTCAAGCTAAAGAAAGTGAGTTAGGAAAGTGGATTTTTCCTTTTAGGGAAAAACTGATTGGAAAATTAAAATAGATTACCAATAGATCCTCATAATATGCACCTCTTTCTCATCCCTTTATGCTCTTATGCAACAACCCTCTACCTTGAATGGCTCTTGTGCCTTGTATTGGGTGAACAATAGTATAAAAGAAAAAGAAATAGACCCATGTACATGATGATGCCAGATAAACACCAACAGAGGCTGTATTGTTTATCAACTATAATAGCATGCATGTTATTTAATATAGTTAATGTTAAGACTGAAAAATTATAATTTTCAAAAGAAACTTTAATTGGCCAAAGGTAAATGTATGTAAAAGTATGGTCCCACTCCAATGATGATCATGAGAACGGTTTGGACTAACAAAATTACAGAGTAGCAAGGCTGAAACTGGACAAGGAATTGACCAAGTCAATTTTGGAACAGTATAGGAAGTGATTGATCGGGATTTACAAATTAATCAGTTATCTCAAGACCCAAACAACTCCAATAGATTTTCAATATAAACCATTTCATTTTTACCCTTGAGCAGTTGTCACCAAGAGAAGCAACTGGAATCTGTAACCAATAGACAAACCACCATTCCCCCTAACTGTCCTTGCAAGATGAACCTATCTGTGACTTGATCCAAGGAAGATTTTCCAAGTATTTCCAATTGCAGAAAAATCAAATCCTAGAGATGGACCAGCAGACATAGACCAAAGTAAGAGTGGCATTCAGTGAAACATGCAACAATAAGGTCATAGTTGGTGTCTGTGACAAAGGATTCGTCCCCAGGAACTCATCTACACTTTTACAATAATTGTTCTGATGAAATTTCCTCTGTGATACTTTGACTTTATGAATTTAAGTGCAGTACTAGATTGGTGACAAGGTCTCATCATTTTACATTTGAAATGGCTAGATGTAACTGTAAGTTCTATGCTAATAGTTTCTTCTATCACACTTCTCGCTTGTGGAACTCTCTTCCAGCTTCTTGCTTCCCAGCCAATTTTGACCTTAAAAAATTTAAATGAAATATCAATCGTTATCTTCTGTTTTCTTAACTTCTGTTCTTTTATTATTTTCTCTCCTTAATAATATTTTCTCATATTCTCTAACACTCGGTAACTCCCTGCATCTTAATGGCTTTATTGCCTTGCTTTGGGTGAAATGATTAAAAAAGAAAATAAAAAATTTCTCATTGTAAGATTTAGTCATTCACTGATGTAACTTGCTTAAAAAAACAAGTCGTAATGTTTCCTTTTATTTTGGAAACAAATGGTGATTATGAAGCAGATCAAAATCTGAATGTCCCAGTTTTGAAAACAAAATACACAACAAAAACTACAACAAAAAACTTTTCTTCTTTTTTTTTTTTATTTAAGGTCAATACTGAATATTACTTGTTCTCATCATTTGGAGTTCTGCATGTTGATAAGGATTTACAATCAGAAACATTTAGGCTTACAGAATGGCAAAGGCATGCTGTTCTCTGGGAAGCTATTCATGAAATACCTTTCTTCAAGAACTATCTCATCTCAAAGATGTTTTACAGGTAAAAATTTCTATTTTTTATGTACCTCATTTTTGAAGAGTTTCCTTTGAAGCACAACGAAGATAATAATTCTTTAAATTTAGTTTACAAAAGAAAAAACATTGACAGACATAAGACTGAATTTCAATTTATAGTGACTTCATTAAACTTAAGTTCTTCTCAAAGAGCTTGAAGAACCATAAAAATAAACAATAATACAATAAAATAACTAATGACAATTATGAGTAATTATACAAATTTAAAACTGTTTAATCTACATTTAAAAAAGATGAAAAATTTAACAATTCAATGTTGAATCTTTCAAAAAGTATTTGCTTTTCAAAATCTTTTTATCGTATCCCTTGCAAAATGTTGGCATTTGCCCAATGATCCTGGTTCAAATAATGAGATAAAAGGGGACAAAAAAAAGAGATCTTCCTTTCTGCTACATCTTTTATATGTCAGAAAGCCTGGAGACTTTTCCAGTAATCTTCAATGGAAAATATGGAAACTGAAAAGTGTTACTAAGACATGTTTTACAGATACAAACTTTTACCTAAAACAGGCTGAAGAAGGAGTTATATTTTGTCAATAAATGGCATTAGGAGTGTTTAATCTTCATTCAAGTAGATCACATTTATTATTAGAGCTGTCATATTATACTTTTTTTTTATTTTAAGAATGATAAAAAACAAACACAAAATGACTTGTGTGGTGTACGAAGAAGGTACTGTAAATGCTCAAATGTGTTAAAAGCAGTTTTGTGCTTGTTATTTTCTGGTTAAACAATGCTCCATGAAAAGTAGACAAGTTAATGTTGATAGCAGTCAAATCAAGGCATTGAAAATACTCAACATTTATAAACATTTTTTATGTAACCACATTTGTAATGATAAAACTTTCAATTTTGCTTACAAAGAAGCTTAAAAAAGATCACTGTAATTGTGAATGACTGCAATTTTTTAATGTATTAAAGCAATTTTTTTTCCTATTGTGTGTGTCTGTGTTTGTTTGTTTTTTTTTTAAGGTGGAAAGCAGCTCAAAGTTACCTGCTATTCTTGAAGACCAAGGAAAGTCTTGAAAGATCACTGTTACAATCCATGCCTATATATGAAGCAGGACTCTTGCAAGTGTCAAAGTAAACCATTTTTCTGCATTCCATTTCATTATCTTTATTTTCATTAATTTATTTTATTTAGCAAAGTTTTATTTAATTCAATTCCTTTTAATTAATTCCAGTTACTATCCATATTCTTATGCCTTTATAATTTTTGGTAATTCCATCCTTATACATTGATTGTAAATATAAAATTCTGATCTCTTGTATTTTGGTGTATTTTTTATCATTATCTTAAATGGTCTATGCAGAATTCATATTGAACAGATCTTTGAACAAAAGCCGCTTTTTGAAATCAAAATGTTTTAAACTGACTGTGCAACTTATTTCTTGACTATATAAAATATGCCTTCTTATTTTCTCTTTGAGACCAAAGATCAGATGTTAGCACATAAGACAATATATTTAAAAAAAAAAATGAATTTTTTTTTTATTCATTATTTGTGCTGTCCAAATTTTTTATATGCTAATTCTTGTCAACTTGTCTTATTGATTCTTCTGACTGTTGATATTAAAGACATCACAATAAAATGTAAATAGACATTTTCTTTTTTCCTCTTTACAAGTGAATAATCTAAAAATGAAACATAGTAAATAATGTAAAATATTTGGGTTGTAATTAATTGTGCTTGATGACATTTAAAGAGGAATTAAAACACAAGAATCAAAGTTTCTATGGATTTCAGTCAACTGCAAAAAATGAATGTCTGTCAAGCTATCCAGTAAAACTTAAAAGCTCATAATTTTGGTTCTGTTTTCAGATTATTAAACGAACTTGTGACTATAAACTTCCTTCCTTTTCAAGCAGAGTAAGTAACAATTCATGCATACACACAAGTATTTTCAAATCATTTTTAATATTAATAGAATAATATATTTAATAATATCTAATATTTGTATGTTTTGTTAATTTTGTTTTTTGTTCACAACATGTCTAATCATCAAACAGAAAATTCAGGATAGCCAGTCATGTGTACACACACACATATATATATATATATATATATATATATAATACTAATAAATAGTTATGCAAATTTTCTATCACATAATTGGTGTAAAAACAGTACTCAATATAAAAAAGACATGGTTACTCTGTGAAAATGAATTAAATACATAAGAATAATTATAAAATCAACTAACTGTATCATACTAAACAATCTGTAAGCATGTAGTATATGTCCCAGGTTGGAATTTTATGATGTACAAGTATGGTAAAATCCATAAACAATTAATCAGAGGTCATGTCACATGACTGTTCCATTTTATGGTCTCTTCATTTAGAATTTTTTCCTATTTTTATACTAAGTGCATGAAGATCATGAAACTAACAGTTGCTCTTATTAGTTTTTTGTGTATTTATTTGTTGTCACATATAATAAACTGTTGTGCTATTATTTGCTTATTAGTATCATCATAATACACTCTTGCTATCTTAACACTTTTATTGGTAGACGAATGTTAATAGTGTCGATTAAAATTACTACAAAAAAAAAAATTAGCTGGATTCTTCATTAAAGAATATTCCAATACAATATCCCCAAACATACAAGTGAAATTTATTCAAAAAGAGGAAGGTTTTTCTAAAGAATATTTAAATTGAAATGCAATGTTAATTGCTATCTTCTGTTTCTTTGAATCTTTGTTCTTTAATGCCCCATCTCTGCTTAATGTTTCTCAGTTTCTTTCATTCTCAGTTACCCCTTGCATCTTAGTGAAATGATTAAAAAGAAAATGAAATAAAGGCATTTTATTTCCTTGGCAGTAATAGCAGATGAGAAATATGGGTTTAAAACATATATCCACCACGTCCAGTGAAATTAACTTTGAGAAAGGGAATATGCTTGAATACCAAAATGTATGCCAGTTTTAAAAAAAATTGAAAGATGATTTGAAAAAGATTTAAAAGTCCCACAAAAGTATTGATCTTGTCTGGCAAATATAAGAATGCTTACATGATGGAGCCAATAACAAAATTATCAATGACGAGCTGAAAACTGTTTTATAGAAGGAATCAAGCAATATAGTATATAACATCAACTTGGAAGCCAAGAATATAACTGATAAATTGAAAGTAAATAACCCATCTTACCTGTGTCATAAAATTATCTTTGTTTATAACACTAAAAGAAAATTTTTAAGGGAAACTTGATTGTAGGCTCATAAAACTCACTAAGAAGTTTGGGCGAAAAATCGGTAAACAAAATGACTTAAAGGTGTATGTGAAAAGAAGTATTATAAATTGACCAATAGAAATATATTAATGCTACCCTTTGATTACTTTAATAGTATCACAGATAAACAGGTAAACATATGTACAGTTTCATATCAAAGTTTTCTACTTGTTCAACTTGGTGATCTCTAAGCATCAACAAAATTTTAAATATGGCTAATCTGTACATTGATATAAATGATCAACAGATAGATATAATCAAACACTGATTAAAGTCTTTATTATTTCACAGACATATTGATTAAAAAAGTCAATTATAGTAATTTTGATGTGGCTATGGAGGAGTTTTGATGTTAAATGGTTACTATGTAAATTAATGGATATAGTTGATAAGAGAGACATAGGATTATATTGGGATGATAGCCACTGCAATAGAAGGAGTACAAATAAAATCAGAAAGGCGATAGATTTTTTTTTTTTTTTTTAAAGAGCTGAAGTTTGACAGCAAAATTAAGACAAGTTTGAAAAAGGTAGACTTCCTCAATGTCACATTTGATCTCAGTAAAAGAGTATACCACTCATACAGAAAGAAAAGTAATATTCTAATACATATCACATTGTCAAATCATCTACTGGTTATTTTCAAACAGATACTGAGGTCTATATATGATAGACAGTGTGTAAATTCTAGTAATAAAGATAGTTTCTTTGATGATGCAAAGCTGGAATATGAAGCAGAGTTAATGAAAACTGAATATGCAGCAAATTTGCTTTATAAAAGCAAATTTATATAAAAAAAAGAAAGAAAGAAAAAATACAGAAAAGAACAATTACTTGGTTTGATCTCCCCTAATTTTGTATATGATTTGGCAGAAGGTTCCTGTGGCTGTTGGTAACCACCAGGAGATGTTAACTTCTTGCATCTTCTTGCTTTCTGGTGAACTTTGATCTTGAAAAATTTAAACACAGTGTTAATTATTATCTTCTGTTTTCTTAATTCCTGTTCTTTTATTGTTTTCTCTCCTTAATACTCAGTAACCCCTTGCATCTTCATGGTTTTTTTTACCTTGATTGAGGTGAAATAATTAAAAAATACATGAAAAACTATGAAAAGACTATAATAACAACAGTGAAGAGCATGTTCTTAAGCTTCTTGATAAATTCTTTCCACTTATTAGTAAACTTCATAAGATATTTAATAGAAATCTGATAAAAAATTGGTCTATTGTTGCATAGACAACATAATCAGGTAAAAAAAAAATCAACATACTGTCTGGATGTGATACAAATTCATCCTTTGTCTGCCTTGTAACTGTAGGAATAGAAATAGATTCTGGGATTGGGGAGGATGAATTAAATGTTTAACTACTAATATTGTTTACCAGGCACCTGTAAAAGTTAGAGCTGAACCCAACATGTCGTACATTGGTGCTACTGAAAGACCACAGAAATGAAGATACTATAACCACAAAATTTATTTCATGAGAAAACAGTATACCAACAGTACAATGTTTTCTATGCATTTGTTGAAATATAAAAATAAAGGCAAGAAAAGTCTTTGCATGTAAGGCATGTGCTAAAAGCTGTGGACTATCCCCATAAAAGAAATTATGCATTTTAGAATTCCTTTAGTAGGCTATTTTACAAAGAGTGTGATTACTTTTGAAATGTATGAATTAGAAAAAGTACCTATTATTATGCTTTTTCTTCTGTGTTCCGTGTCCCTTCAGAACATTAGCAATCATGGCTCTCCATAATTTCCTTGTCTTTGTAACTCTTAATAAATTTTGTCTTTTTGTTATTGCTCCTAAACTTTGTTCTGCCATCCATTTACTTAGGCTTCCTCAGTAGGTTATATGCTGTTCCTCTTGCCTTCAATTTGTCTTGTAGGTATCAAATTTTCCAAGCCCTCTTTCCTCATTATGTGTTCTAAAATTTCAACTCTCTCTTTCTGCTAAGTATGTGTCACTTTGTGTTTCCATTTTTTGTAAAAGTTCATCATTGCTCACATGTTCAGTCTATGGTATTCTTGGCATCCTTCTGTAGTACCCTCTTCTTTATCTGTGAGGAGATTGTTCAGTATTCACTGCCATATAGGAGGACTAATATTATGTAACAGTTTAGTCTGCTTTCTTTTTTTCTGACAAAATTTTCCTGTTTTTTATGCTTACCTTTACATTTTTTATGCTTACCTTTACATTTTACCTTAAATGTTGATTAAATGAATATGAACTCTTCTCTATTGATATGTCATAAAAATATAACCCAAAAGGTTTACTATAGACCTGAAGATCACCCGTCATGAAACTTATAGTTGCACTTATTATTATCATTGTCTTTAATTCACTTTATTGAGATTTATATTGAAGCTGGCTTTCTCAAAAACACATCTCATTAAAGAAAAGTGAGAATGCTTTTTTTTTTTTTTTCATAGACATTTTAAGTGAATACAAAAATACATAAATTAGTCAATCATTTTCTGATTTGATTTCAATCCACATTTTACAGAGTGGCATAAACTTTTCCTATATTCTGCATTTCATTTACTTTTTAACATTTGACTATTGTCTGGTGACCTCAAGTATATGTGAAACTTGATACAATGTTTTGTTTTGAGGTGTTCTTTTTGTTTGTTGCAGTTTTCATTGGTTGATTTTTTTTTTTTTTTTTAATGTCATTTGGTAAAGTATTTTATATAAAGAATTAATTTTGTTGATACGTTCTGGGTGTTAAACACACTCTCCTCTGAGTTGGTGTCATGCTTGATTAAATTAATTTGATACTTGTTTAACCCTAGAGACACAAATTCCTAAAAAATAGAAAATATATCTATTGTTAATGTGTATGGATAATTTTAGTCAATTGCTAGTGTTATTATAAATTTGTCCTGTTTAAATATTTATAAGAAAAACAATTTTGTTAGTCTTATTTACTGCTTAGTGACTGAACTTGTACATTTTCCTCCATCACAAAAGTTGATTTGTCCATTTGAATGTGTAGCTTATGATATAGGATTAGGTAGATAGGATTTTATTATACAATCCAAGATTGGATGCCTTCTCAAATTATGGCAGGCTAATTGAGGTATACATGGGCCTAAAAGAACAAGAAAATTTCTTTTGTGATAATAATATACTTATCTAGATTTTTTTGCAGTATACTCACTAAAATTATTATGCACAAGAGAAAAAGTAATTGGCAAATTTAGACTTTAGTGTCTGCAAAAGAATGAAATGTAAAAAGAACAGTTTTTCCATTGACACCATTATTATTTCAACTGCTAAACCTAAACGTATGATGAAAGTGAATTTATATATCTTTTTTGAATTTAAAACATAAATATTAAACACTATTTATTAACTTGTTTATTTACAAGAATAATTTTATATTTACAACATTTATAAAAACTAATACAATTTTGTTAAAATTAATGCAATGCAATATTTATCGTTTACCAATTTATAAAGAAATAAATACAAAAACAATTTTTTTTATTCATAAATTTATAAACATTTACTAAGTTATTTAAATATGTGAACCAGCTATAAAGAAATCCTTATTATTTACCATTTTATAAAGTTGGAATCAATAGGAAATTAACCAATGTTTTGTCAAACATTCCAATAAACACTCTAATAAATAAGTAGTATTTATTATTTTAGTTGTCAATTCTCAAGAACAATGAAAATGTATAAATTTACTTTCTTATATTTAGGCTTTATTAAAATTTTAATCATCACTTTTTAAAACCATAAATATTGCTGTGGTAGTGAATTAAGATAATAGTGTCAATGGAAAAACCATACTTTTAACAGTCTTTGGGTGGGGTATGAAGGTCCAAGTTTGCCCAGCAGTTTATAACAATGCTTTTTTAAACTTGTCAGTTAAATTTTTCAAACAAATATTTTTAAAATGATTATGTATATTACAAGGAAGGCTATGCAAGCCCCAGCATGGTAGTCTCAACAATGTAAATCATGGGATATTTTAAATTTGAATTATTGATAATTTAGAGAAAACATTTAAGCAAATAATTTCCTCCTATTTCTTTATTAGTCATATCTTTAATTCATTAATTATATATTTAATTAAATTCTGTTTTAAATATAAATGCAACAAAGCTAAATATGTTATTGAGAGAGATTTCAATGCAGCTAATCTTGATTGTTATGTGCATAATTGAGTAATTATTCTCTTTTTTTTTTTGCTTTCAGTAAAAGTTATACTTTGCCAGAATTTGAAGAAGCTGTGTTTCAGGTTCAAAATGACACAAAAGAATACCTGAAAAGATTTTTCAGGTAAAATCTTTATGCTCTCCTACCCCATTCATACTTTGATATTTAACTTGGACAAAGGTTTCACAAATATTTAAAATAACTTTGCAATTTTTTGATTTCTACAATTTATTTGGCTTTGGGCTATAACTTATCTTGACCTTTTAATTAATTGATTATCAGTATATTCAAATTTTTAATATTGATATCAAAGAATTGGCTTGAAACGTACCACAACAGAATTAAAACCTCAAGACCACACACACACACACACTTAAATCAGATTATTATTTGAGAAAAGACTGTTCATATATCTAGTAAATCACTCAAATTTAATAAAAATCATTCTTTTATGAAAATAATCTATAGATTTTAAGTACCAATCATGGCTGTATATTGCCATTGCAGGAATCTATAAAGATTTATGCAAGGGTAATCACTAATCTGTTTTAATCTAGATGATTGCTGCATTAATCTGATTTCATTCAGAATTCAGAAGCATAAGGAATTAACAAAAAAAATCATCCTTCTGTTACAAATTTTCTCTGGTTTTGTAACCTTTGTCTTTCTCTTTCTTTCCCTCATTAATATTCTTTACCATGCTCCACATCTTTTCTATCTAACAACTTTCAACACTTTCTTTTTATTCCATTTCCTTTTAAAATGTGAGATAACATGCCTCTCCACAGCATCCTGTTTCTTGTTACTCTTGTCAATATTTTTCCTTTAAGACCATTCTTTGTGGTAATTATTCCACCATTTGCACAAATTGGTAAGTAAACTATTTGCTGTTTTTTTTCTGTTTCTCTTGATGTCTCCTTTGAGTTTTCAATTCTCCGAGCCTTCTTTCCTCATTATGTGTTCCCAAAATTTCTTTCTGATTATTATCAGCAGTTTTATCTTATTCTCCTTAGAATTACCTCATTTATTACATCTCCGTCTACAGTATTCTCAACATTTGTGTGGTAGAATGACATCTTGGTTGCCTCATGACTTTTTCATTTGTGACAAGACCAATCTATTTCATTGCATAATATATCCGGAGTATATTCTTCTGTTTTCTTTACAGGTTGTGCAAGATTATTGTTGATGTTATAATGTTTGAATCTTTCAAGAAACTTCGCTTCTGTGAAGAGCAGATGACTGCAAAAAATATGTTGTGAGTAAAAAAAGAAAAAAAATTTTTTTCAAAATCACATTAAATTTTGTTTGATATAGTGTCACAGTAAAGAAAATTCCTTCAAATTTTACTTTGATTCTTCTCTAGATAAAAGCCTCATTCACCAGTCTGAGAGTGATTTTCTTAATATGCACAATTAATAGATTTATAATATATTTGTTTCTCACTGGGTGCAATACATTTGTAATTTTATTCTAAACTAGACTGTGCCAAAATAAAGCTTTACAGGAAAAGAAAAAGGAATTAGTTTTTTTTTGTTTTTTTTTTTTTTAGAAAGTAGTTTTTCAATAGGATTGTTAATTTACAGAACAAAACTTAAAAAATGAAAAAATATTTTTTGGCAAGTTTTAAAAATTGAATTTCATTTTCAAAGAGAAATAAACACGAATTGTAAGTCTTTCAGAATAAACTTCAACAGATCTTATATTGGAACTAAAATTCATAATAAATTAAGAAACTAATTTTAGGCTTATGGCCACATTACATTGAAACACCAATTCTTGTCTAATCACTGAAGTTAAGCAATATTGAGCCTGGTCAGTATGTAGAGGGGTAGCCGTCTGGGAATATCGGGTGATGTAAGCTTGGATGTGCATGGATAACGGCTTGAAAAGAGAAATTGGAGAGCTGAGTTTGAATTCAGTCAGGTTTTTTATATTCACTTATACACAAATACCCTTGGGAAAGGTATGAATCCACCTCTTTTCTATCCTATCTATGGGTAAACAGTAGGGCTTGTATCTGAAAATAATTATCTCCAAAAATTTGTTAGTACAATATTCACTCACAAAAAAAAAATTCTTATTCTTACAATCCAAAATGTTTTAACTTTAAAATAACCTAGAAAAGGTTGAAAAGCTGTAAAAAAATAAATTGATATTCAAATATTATCTTTCTGGAGTTTGCTTTTATGTTCACAAGTGTCACCCTGTCCAGAGTCTGACTATTATAAGAGTCTAAGTATTATAAAAGACACCATCTCATTTATCAAATAAATTTTAAGGAAATTTGATAAGAAGGAAGTACTGCTTGCAACAACAATGAGACACGTTTGTGATAAGTGGAAAAATAAATTTTTAATTTTTGGCATTAAAACCTATAAAGGAAATACTTAGCTTTTTAGAGAAGAATGTCTAGAAAAAAGATAACATTTATAAAAAAAAACAAAAAAACTGTAAAATGTACTGAATTGAGCACACACACATTGTTACTTTATGGCAATCCATACCAAAAATAATTGATACAATGAGCTGGAGATTCAAACCTAGAACTAATCATAGATAACTTCCCATATAGAACTACAGCTGGAGATAGGCTTGTTATCCTGGTCACTGGTCTAGCTATGTCTTGGGCAGGAGACTCCTATATTCTGTTTCATTAAGATATGGTAAAGTCCCAAGCTCAGGTTTGAAACTTTGCAAGCCTGAGTTAGCCATGTAGGTCACAAAATTCAAGCTGATATTGATCAATCTTGAAATAATAAAAAAGATCAGAATACTGTAACAAGATTTTAACAAGAGTTTATTTTAGCTGTTACTTATGTAGGTGTTTGAAATTTTTTACAAATTATAAAATTTTTTAAATTTCACAAAGACCACATTTACCTTTTGTTTGCAAAATATAAAAATTTTACCTCTCACCAAATCTTAAGTTCTTGTGTCAAACATAAAAACATAGTAGGAATAGCAAATCATAATAGGTGCAAATCACAAAACAAGACTCAACCAGGGTCTAAAATTTTAAAAGGAAAACAAATTTATTACACACTTATGAAAAAGTTTGTACAAAAATTTCTTTTGTGTGCCTATTAAGTCAGGAAAACAATTTTGAGTAAAAAAAAAGATTACCATCAAAAAATGGAAAAAAAATTGCAGTTTGGAAAAGACAAGGATTTTGAAAAAGACAAAAAGAGAAAACAATTCAAGAAGGCAGAAAAAAAAACAAAGATGCAACCTCCTTTCAGATAAAAAAAAAAAAGTCCTACTTTTACTTGCCCTCACAAACGTCCCTGGGACATATAGCAATGTTAGAAAAGCCCCTTTTAAATTCACAGTTCATGCTTGGCAAAATTTCTTAAAATTCTTTTTGTTCTTTGTTGTCCAATCACAAATTTTTCACTTGAACTTCAAATTTTTTTAGTCTCTCTGCAGCTGGCTAGTAATTGGCATCTTCTTGATGTTCTCTACTTGATGTCAAAGGCCTTCTACTATCTGATGTTGATTTGCTTCAGACCCTTGCTGTCAAAAAGTTTTCTTCTCACATCTACTGACCTGAGCTCTATATATTCAGAAAATTAGGCTCTTCCCCACCATTCAGGTTGTTACTAGATCTTGAGACCACATCTCTCATTGGTCAGTATATATGAAAAAATAATTTTCCATAAACTGGAAAATGATCCTTCACAATTTTGGTGGGTTTTAACCATTGAATTGAAAAACATGTACAAGTGTAAAAAAAAATTTTACACAAATCATCTGGCCTTCATAAAAATACACTTTTCCCAAAAGAAAAAAGAACCTAGATGATTAAACATTTATTCAATGCTAATATTTTTAAAATTACAAAACTAAATTTTTTTTTATAGATAGTTATTTTACTTTGGCCAAGGAAATAATTTATCACTTGTCACTATTTTTCACCCAACTTGGTAAGTATACAGTGTCATACCCAATTATATTAAATCACTTAGTTATTTCCAAGTTGATGTTCATGTTTGATTTCTCAACTCATCTAATTTCTCAAAAGTAACTTCCTTAATTTAAAAAAAAAAAATAGATATTCTATGAACTCATTATGCTTGGGATGCAAGTAAAGAAAGAAGCAAAAAAGAAAACATTAATGATTACAGTGAAGAGAACGAAACTGTTTTCACAGGGGGAAAACAGAACAAAGAGAAAGAGACAATAGAATAATTTTTCTTAATTGACCTCTTGACATGAAAGATAACAAGTCATGTACTTTGCTCTTTCCATTTACATCTACTGCTTAGACCAGTTCATCCCTAAAAATCCTAGAAAAGTAATCAAGTAAGAAAAGACTCGGGCAGTCAGTTTTACTTGAAATATTCATGCAGTTTTGAGTTATCAAGGAAGTTTAAAACAAAAATTGAAAGAATGTGAGTGTTTTTATCATCCTTCCTTTTCAATGAGCATAACATTACATATATCTATTTAGTTTACTCACTGCATATTACACTGTAAACACAATGTGGGACAATAAGCATAGAAGACTTTATAGGCAGAAGGGAGTTTTGATTGATTGATTGATTATTTTTCACGGCTTATCAATCTTTTGCTGGTCATTTAAAAGCCAGAAAATATTTTTAGATTGTAAGAATTTTGGGGGAGATAATAATGATTCACTGATACAAGACCTATTAATTAACCTGTAGCAGTGGAGGGGGGGGAGAAGAGGTTGATTCATACCATTCCCAAGAGTATTTGAATGTAATTGAATATAACAAACTCAACTGGAATTGCAACTCTTTGATTTCCAATTCTGAGCCATTATCTATTATACCACCTGCATATCCAAGCTTATTGTACGAGGTGGTCATCCATCCAGATACTGACCAGGCTCGACATTGCTTGACTTTGGTGATCGTATGTGAACTGGTATTTCAACATATGGCCATCAGCCCATGGACAAAAGAATGATCGATACAGAATGACCATTTTTCAATTATAGATGAAAAATCTGTCTTAAGTAAAGATCCTACAACAACAGTGAAGCATCTCTCTCTCTCCTTTACAGCATTCATCCACTTGGATCCCATAATGTAACAATATATACATACTAGTATACTATAATCTTTAGACAGGTAGAATGAAATTATATTATAATTCTACTTCTTTAGTGAATACATTATGCTCTGCCATTACTTCAGATAAACAAAGAACCATTCCTGTTTTGATCAAAGATAGACAGAAGAAAAGATATATCAAAGGTACTATTTGGTTTTAGGAAAAGGAAGTATAAAGAAAGAAAGAAAAAAAAAGCGGCAGTGATAACCCTCTCATGAGTTTAACATCTGCTTCAGGAAAATAGAAAACCTTGTCAATTTTTATTATTTTTATTATATTTTTTCTTATTTTTTTGTCATTTGTACCCTCTTACTACTTTAAATAATGACCTGCATTCATATTTATGATTTTTATTGCAATATTTTGTTAAAGCTGTTAACCTCAAACATTTAATAATGCAATAAGAGTATTACTATAGGTATTTTATAGTTGTGAAACTCACCATGAGCTTATTCAGTCATTAACTTAAGAATTAAGATTCATCAAAAAATTCAAATAGGAAAACTGAAATTTTCACTGTTATTTCTAGTTTTTAATAATTATTAAACTTGATTATTAGAGCTAAATAATTTTTCAGATTCATGGTTCTGTTTTCTAAACATTTTAGTCTAGCATCGAGTGATGAACACTCATTACACAAATTAAACAATACTAACCATCACACTATAGAAGGTGCACAAACTGTTTGGTTTTATGTTTAAATTAATAAATATATTTTATTAAGTGTTAAGTTTTCAACGTAAATAAAATCTGCATTTTATTGCCACTTAGAAACTCACAATATCTAATCCTTTCATCTAATATTGATACAACAATGTTTTCATATCTACCAAGAATACTTTTCATTCTTATATATCTATTTTATAGAACATTTTCAGCACAAATATTTAGCTCTTTGTTAATCAATAATCATGTTCAAAATAATGTTGGTTGTAATGTTTACTACATTAAAAATGTTTATTTAAATTGAAGATTCAAAAAAAAATTTCTTATAAAAAATATATTTAGTATTCAGCTGCAATCCCTAATTTAAAATATTTATCTTGTAATTTATACTTTGGATTTTTTATAACTTAGCTCTTTTGATTGTGCTATATACATAGGATTGAACACTTTTGTTTCTGTATGCAATTCAAATAAATCATGTTAAATATCTATCTATATGCACACATATACATACTAACCTGGAAGTAATTTAAGCACATTAATTGATTCTTTTCAAGTTTTATAAAGCCACAAGTGATTTCATACTTTGGTATAAAAACATATTGCCTCTTATAAGCATATAAACCAGATTAATATATTAATGTTTTATTTCACAGTTCAAGAGATTCACTTTATCTTATGAAAATGAAGAAAAAACAAAGGACAGCAAATTTTCTCAAAGCCAAGAATGAAACCAGGTAACAATTTGTCTTCATTGTTGAATGTCATTGATTAGTGTTATCATTTTTGATAGATTTAAAACAGAATTTTTAGTTTAATCCTGTATTTTCAGGAAAGGTCTGTTAAGTTGGGCTTTGTTATCTACTTGCATTTTCCCTTAGCTATTATTTTCATTTTGATTGCCTTTAAAAATTTATATTTGTGCCTAAAAACAAAACATGTTTCAATCACCACACACAAAAAGTTAATAAATTTTGTCAGTCATACTCTTTAAAATATTGTGGTAAGATTTATGCTCAGGTCTTTCTCAAAATATTGTCTCACAAATAGCAATGATGATTTTTCCAATCATTGCATTAACTTTTAAGAGCATTAAGTTACATGTTCAAGTAAATATGAAATTAACTAAGTGTGGTAATAAAATAAGCACACCCCCATCTCCCCCCTCTCGCTTATAACTATCCATTAAATTAATATAACATTTTTCAGCACTAAAGCTGACTTAGTCTAATAATGCTTCATGAGCTTCACTTGGTGGTGGTGTTATATTACACTAAGGAAATGGATTTTAAATCCGTGAAAAAGATTTGATGATCCTTTAGAAAAAAAGGATTTATTTTTCCATTCTATTTATAATCATTTTCTTATTAAAAAACCTTTTCAAACCATGATTTTACTGTTACACATAATATGGATGGTTAAATGATTTTGATTTCTTTTAATATCATGAAAATTCATCCGTTACTTTTTTCTTTTAATCATTTTCAGCCATCTTGGAAACTTTGTACTCCTTATCAACCAAATGACTGTGGAATATTTATTCACCATTGCAAAATCACATATCCATATATTTCTTCATGACATTCTCAAAAGCAAAAAAAGGGATCAGAAGAAAGGATTTTTTTGTATTAAACTTATATATAATGACAAAGGTAATTATTCCTTGTTTGTTGATATTTCTGTCCTCTTATGTAAATTGCTCATTATTTTAGGTACCACTATGCACTCTGAAAAAACATGATTACCTCTAGTGATAAACCAACTGAAACTTATAACATTAATTTTATTATAATTATTTAAAAAACAAATTTTTTTGTTGGGGAAAATTCTTATATAAAAATGATTTGTGTCCAATATATACATAAAATGTGATTTTATCAAGAGTTGTTTATACTTTTAACTGTAGAAATACTACTTGTAGGCAAATTACATCTTGATTTACAAAATCCAAATTCAGCTAATCATTGGATTTCAATAAAATTTTTAGGATTTATTCATTAGTGAATTTATGTATCAAAAAGAAATTACTAAAGTAACAAATTTTTCTAAGAAATTTGTGGAAAGGATTTTAAAGTTAATCACATACAACCCATTTTTAATTAATGAAATTTCTGAATACCATGTGGACACTAAAAATATTTATATTTTTATAAAGATGTTTCTCTGAAGAAATTAAATTAGTTGAAATTTCATTTGAAACTTCATGAAATATGAAAATATCTGCTGAATCAAAAAATAAAACCTACAATAAAACTGAAATATTTTATTTGGAAAGTTTTTAGTTGCTTCTTTTAAATAATATATGCAGTGTCAGAAAAGAAACAGGACTGAAGTCACAAAAAAATTATTTCAAATACAAACTACAAGTCTTTCCCTTTGAAATTATACCCCTAGAGTCTAACACACTTTCCCATCATTCTCTGCCACACCTCCATGAATTCCTGGAAGGATTCTCTGCAGCTTCGTTGTCATGGCCCTCTTGATAGCTCCCATGTCCAGGAAATGGGTCTCCTCGATGAATATCCCTGTGCTGAAGCAACTTCTCTACTTGCCCAACCTGGCTCCATGTGATTTTTTTTTTTTTTTTTTTTCGAGGGTGGATGGGTCATCAAGGGGACCTGTTTTCCAAATGTGAAAGCCATCAAGAAGGCCATGACAATAGAGCTGCAAAGAATCCCAGGCGAATCCTTCCAGGGAAAGTGTGTTAGACTCTTGGCAGGGTGGGGGTTAATTTACAAGGCAAAAACTTGTAAGTTGGATTTGACATAAACGTTTTGTAACTTCATTCCTGTTTCTTTTCTGACAAGCCTCATATATTGTATACCTTTAGGTGTCCGATAGAAAAAAGTATCCATTAAAAATAGTTTTTGAAAAGATTTATTTTCATTTATATAATTAATAAATGATTTTAATGTTTTTGATTATATTATGCTCTGTGATATGCTTATATTATTTAGACAATTGTCCTCATCTTTGTTGTTGTTATCACAATGTTTCAGCCATTGTGCCCTCTGGCCTTCGTCAGTTGTATATCAATCTGTTTAACCTATGGGGAATTTCAAACTGAACCCTTTATTTAATTTATGGAGTTCGATTGTTCTTGTTCCACTGCCCATTTCTAGGGATATCTTGTCTAGTTATTATTTAGTACTACTCAATTATTACCCACCCCCATCCAAGTATACAATGCCCAGCCCAGGGATTGAACTCACACTATATCACCAAATTCATAAACCAATGCTTTTATTCACTAGACTTGTCTTATCAAATTTTGTGTGAAGGAAAACAATTCTGTTACTGAGACTCTCAAAATGCTTTGTCAAGCTTTTGGAGAATATTCTTTAAGTTAAACATACATTACTTTCAAGATTATGGTTCAAGATGGCCAACCATGAGAAAAACACCAGAAAATATAGAAAAAATTCATGAACTCCTTGATGAGGACTATCACCAAACAATCTCTCAGCTCTTTTGCATAATTGGAATTAGTTATAGAAATTGCTGGGAGATCCTAGTCCAGTAATTAACTCATACTACCTTGTATAAAATCTGTATGACCAAGATCTTTGTGAATCCTGAGAGAATTGTTTAAATAAAAATTGATTCATGCATTCTTGTAAAGTAATATTTTTTTGTATTTTCTTATCTGTACCAATTTCCACTCTTAATGTGATTTATGATATACATTCTTTTGGCTTTTTCTTACTCACAGAAAAGTGTTGTAATTGTTGTTTGTTTTTAGTTAAAAGAATATGTACATTTGCTTTTCTACTTTAAGAGAAAATAGTGTTTTTTTTTGTTTTACATTAACAAACTGGTTAACTCATACTGTCAAAAAAATGACTACCATATTTCAATAATTTTACAATTGTATTGGTTATACTTTCTGTATTAGTAATCTATATAGTTTTTATCAATACAGTTAACTCTATTGTCACTTATAAGACAGAATTCTGCTTTTTAAATCAAAATAAAAAATATCCCTAGATCTCAATAGTATGTAGTCGAGATCAGGTATCATAGCCAATAAATATAATGATAATGTGTTTTATAGAATAGATATTGAAATGTTTATTTGTGCTTTTAGATGTGTTTTAATTTATTCAATGTTAGCCAATGTCAGATAGTAAAATGATCATTGTCTTTAGCAAAATAAAAAAAGGGTAACTTGAAACACTTTCTTGCTTAACTGAAGGGTAACCTTACTCAAACTGAAATTCTATTAGTGTTGTGCCTAAGGATTTGGTAAACAAAATCTTGTCTCTTTTACTTCTGATAAAGAAAATATAAAAATGAATAAACAGTTAATCAAACACAAAGCACAGTTATTGTTGTACAAAGAAAGCAAAGTTTATTTTTTACTAATGTTCACCCTATACAAGGCTTAAGAGCCACTCGAGGTAGAGGGTTACTGAAGGAGTTTGTTGTATGAGTGGTAAGAGTAATAGGTACAGTTTATGAGGATATGTGGAAAAGATAATGATTAACCCTAGACGTGAACAAATTAAAATTATAGTGATTGGGAAAGCATTCTCTTGGGAGTTTGTTCCACAAAGAATCAGTTCATGGGAAGCTGTTCAAGTGGAAGTTACTTCTCACCAATTAAATATGAAGGAAATGAGGTTAATTCCCCTCAGTGTATGGGGTCTTAGCAATGAGGGTTAGAAATGGTAGAACTAAAGAATGTAGCTCTTCTGAACATTTTCCATGGTTATAACAATAGAGTAACAAGAGACTTGCAATGTTTCATCTGTGGGAAAGTGGTTGCAGGATAGAAAATAACTCATTATCCACAAGATTGCATAGAAAGCTTTTTGAACAATGTCAAGACTAGAAACTGAAGACTGGGCAGCTCCAGTTCAGATATGGTAGTAGTACACCATCTTTGGCCTGATCTGGCTCTTGTAAAAGTATAAAACCATAGAAAATGAATCACTCAATCAACAATGTAAAGGTAGACTATAGCAGGAGTTGTCAGGTACTTATTGGTGCAATACGAGGAACCAACTGTTTTTCCTGCATCTTTAGTGATGGATCATATATACAAGTTTCACTTGAGGGATGAAAAGAGCTTATGTCCCAAGAGGCATTCAAGGCAAGGGGCCTCCTTGAGAAAACACCCATTTATTGTGATAGACAAAAATTCAGTGTCTGTTTGGTGTTGATGGAACATTGCTTTCACTAAACTTGTTTTGCATATTAATCATTTAATGTTGAGATTTGCTTTTAATTTCAGACCAGTTGGAATTCTCTCCTTCTATTGAAAAATGTCAAGAATTTTTGGATGGCACTCTTCATGGACTTGCATCTGTACTTTGTTCCAAAGCAGTTCCACTTGGAGTTTTGGAAATTGCCATGAAAAAATCTGATGCAGTTCATCACGATATTTATGATTCTTCAGAAGCAATAAAAAAGTAATTTATGCACTTTCTCTTCCAACTCTATTCTCAACTCATTTGGAACATTTTTGCCTGATTTTCCTTCTAGAATGAAATCTCTACTGAGTGATATGCATATAACTTTGTCCATGGTTTCTACTATCATTTCCAAACTAGATTCCCACAAAGAATAAACACCTGATGGTATCCCTACAATTGTCTTAAAGAAATGTGCTCCCAAACTGGTCCCTGTTCTCTCCAAACACTGCAACAAATGCTTCGCTGCATCTTGCTTTCCAGCTTGTTAAAAATCCTTTTCTGTAGTTCCTATCTTTAAGAACTCTTGTGAACCTTCTGATCACATCCTATTAGTCTTTTATCACTTTTTGGAAAATACTAGAGGCTCCAATCAACTCCGAATTGGTTAAATGGCCTTATTTCAGATAAACAATATAGCTTTCATTTCTCTTGGTCAAATGCTGGTGTGTTAAAAATTATTATTGAATTTGTCAACCTTTTGAGAAAAAATGGCGAGGTTTGGAGTGTGGGTTGAGATTTCTTGAAGGGATTTGACAGGGTTTGACATGCTGGCTTTCTTCACAAGCTCAAAGGCTATGGTATCTATGTAATGATAATAGTTTCTTCTATTGCACTTCTCTCCTGGAGAACTCTTTTCTAGTTACTTGCTTCCCTGTCACCTACGACCTTCAAAAGATTAAATGTAATATCAATTCACAACTTCTTGAATTCAGCTCTTTTATTGTCCTTTCTTCTTGTTAAAGTCTTCTCTTTCATTCTCCGTAACCCCTGATATCTTGGTGTAACCTTGTTGTGTCAACACTTTGTCAACAGTAACCAATAATGTCATGCCACTGTCGGCCCGAGACAGTGGTAACCAAATATGTAACACCACTCATCAGTCCTCAAGTTCCTTCAGACTACTGTGGTTACCATTTAGCTGACTCTTCACTCATTAGTCCTGGTATTGTGACGGTATGCATGATTCCACTTGATCTAGTTGGTGTTTGTCTGTTCATAATCATTCCCTTTGCCACATTGTGTTTTTGATCTCAGAGGGAGATTGCTGATGAAGCAAATTGGAATGAAGGTGGTTCAACAATTTGGGAGCTACAAAAAAATCAATCCTTTGGAATAAAGAATTAACTCTGGTTAAAAATGTAACAACAATTTGGCTTATATATGATTTGTTGTATACAGTGGTTTTTAACCCTTCCCACTACAGTTATATTCAAATGACACTGGGATCTGCTTTGGAGTTTGCAGATTGTGTTAGTTGTAACTTAAATTTCTAAATTCTGGTCTTCAGGGTTGGTACAAAGTCTTGGTCAGGAGGTTTTGGCAATTGATGTGGATTCCACTAGCAGTAGTATGGAGACACTCTCTTTCCCTTTGTGTGTGTCCCTCTGTGCTTATATGGAGCACTGTATCTAGAAGGGGTGGGATTGTCTAGGGTCTGGATTTGGTTGTCTTTTACCCCAAGCATCAACCTTTTCTAAGTGGTTTTCCAAATTTGGGGATTTCCAGCCCCCTTTTGAGAGTGGTCAAAGGGATCAAGCCACCCCTTAACTCCAACTCTCTTTATGTCTCACCTTGCACCATAGCTCCATATAGGCAGTGCTAATCTCTCCTTCATCTTTCTCTTCACTCTCCCACTTTCTCAGCAGCCCACCCCAGCCTTCTCCCAGAGCTGGTGTGACAAATCCAACTTACAAATGCTGCAGTGAAAACAAAAGAGATTTTCAGTCATTAATTCTTATCTATCAGCTTACCCCATGCTGGGATCTCTTGATTGACCAGACCAGTCAAGAACTGAAAAAGGAAAGCATTATTTCCACTCTCCTCTCATTAATGTGAAAAGATCTTGAAGAATGGCTGTTGAAGATAACTTTCATTTGGTGATTTGATATGATTGAATCAGTTCCAAAATTTGTCCAGAAATACCATAACCTTTCAACTTGTGGAGACCTGCATTAATAAAATGTTCAAGGAGAGACTTACAGAAATCCAATACAAAACTATTTAATAACTAACAATGCAACTTTATTCTCAATCTAATAGAAGGAGGAAAATATAAGTAGCAATGAATTATTGCAAACCAAAAAAGATGAAAGGGTTTAGATATTGTTAAGCAGACATTATTAATTTGATCCAGTCATATTATTCAAGGAACCACTTATATTATCATTAATGTATTGTATTAATTTTTTTAACACTTTTTTCCTCTCACTTATACGGGAAGCTTTAGTCTGAAGAAAGATGCTCAACAAATGGATTAAGTAACTAGTTAAAAATTGTTTTTTTTCTTCTTCTCAGTCAATTTGTTTCTATTGCTTGTCATTAGTTTTACTTATGTTAACATGTCTAGAGAATCAAATTTTAGACTAAAATTGGATTCCCTTTTTTTTTCTTTTTTTTTTTTTAAATCTTGTAAAAATATTTGTCTATTCACATGTGATGTATATTTCATTTTTCAATCATGTAAAACCAACAAAAAATATCTCCTCAGATGTTCATATGAAATATAAACAATTCATTATTTTTCATAGAATTAATTTTTTGCTTAAGGTTAAGATGATATAAATCTCCTTTCACCTGTTTTGTTTATGTTTTAGATATATAAAGCAATTCCTCAGTGCAAATCCACAGCTGATAAAAGATACACCTGATGTTGTGAAAGATTTACCATTTGTAAGCCAGTCTCCGGAAATATTTGAAGACCAACTCCTTGAACAAGTTGACCTAGATAAACTACAAAAAAGTTTGTATATTGTTCTAATTTTTCAACTTTAATATAAAGTAAAATATATGAAGGACATTTACATTTGTGCATAACACGACTATATCAGAAACTTTTTTAACAAAATATAACTGATTTTATTTACTGAGTTAATTTCTTTTCTTTCTTTTTCTGTCAAAAGTTTTGTAACCTGGAAGCTCTTTTTTATTCAACAAAAATAGATAAGTAGGATCAGATTCACCAATACTATAATTCCGTCTTGGGCATTTAGAAGTAAAAGACATGTTTTTTTGTTAATTCTTTTCTATTTTTATCATGTTTATCATAGTTAATTACATGTTAGTTAACTAATATTAAAAATATAATAATAATAAAATGTAGACTAAACAAAGCAAAAATCAATGACTGTTTTCAAAGTTAATTTGATCTGAAAAATTTCAAATAGTCTGGCATTATTTTATCTAAGAATATATATATATATATATATATATATATATATATATATATTCAGTTGTCACAATATGAAAAGAAATTAACCTTAAAACATTGAGATTTCTAATGAGTATCAATCAGTCAAACTTGCCATCTTCACTGTATTAATTAATTATACCTCATAATCAGTGGCAGCTCATGGCTAAAATTAGTGAGGTTGCTACTTTTGAAAATTTTTAGCCGTTGTTTAAATATCATGTAAAAAGAAACAAGAACATACAAAGAAAATTTATACATGAACTTGATAAAATCCTAAGCAAAAAAATTATTTTTTACTTATAAATTGTTACAGTTCAAGCTTGATCCATGATCCAATGAAATCCATTCTTGTTTTATCTTGTACAAACAGGTTAATAATTTTCTCTTTGATTCCTGGATGACTGTTGAGGAAATTTTTCTCCATTGAAAGCACTGCAAGTCTTTCAGGATTTATAGTGCTCCTTTAGAAAATTTTTTTTTTAATTCTTTTTAGTGCTGAAAAACAGCATTCTGTCTCTGATGTAGTCATGGGAATTGTCAAGAGGATTTTTATCAGTTTTGTAATTTCACTAAGAACACTATCTACATTATTTTACAAGATAAATTCCAACAACTTAATTAATTTGCAATATTTATGCATATCAGATCTACAATAAAATACTTTTAGTTTAGTTTCAAGCATTTCTTTGTCAATTATGGGATATAATTCAGTGATCAGTACTATCTATTCTGTGGGCAGTTAATTTTTTAAAACTAGTGAAGCTTGTTGAACCATTTAGAAGTTACTAAGTGTTTAGTGGAAGAATATCTGTCCATTACATCAACACATATGCAGTCACACATCCTTTACTTCTACCATGGGTGTCTTTGAGGGATTCACACAGTACTTCAAGTTTCTTATTTCTAAAATAGCAGTTTTGAAATCTGCTATATGTTATTTTGTAATCTGTCACATGTACATAATACAAGTAATAACAGAAAGACTTCAATTTAAAATATTGAAGTATTTAATTACCAAATGCAATTAAAATAAATTAACAACAAAGAAGTAAAGAGTCAATGGAAAGATTATTGATTACTTATCAGTTAATACGTGACAACATAGAGATGCTAAGAATAGTACTAATTCATCTTGAAACACAGGACACTCAAGTTTAATGTCTGGGTTAACACAATAGTCAACACATAATTGTAACCATCCCAGTGAAAGGCATGATATCTCTATTTATATTAAATGGTGGCATACATTTCCATTGTCTAGAGATTCATGTTCAAACTCTAGTGTCAGCAGTGACATTTTTCATTCATATATGATATATTCATTGACTTTAAACATAATTTCTTGAGATTGCTTTTGATCGTAAATTACTTCAACATGAGGCATTATCTAATGAAAAAGCTCTAACCAAAACTTGAAATTATCATCATTCAGCTATTGTAAAATTCTTGTTGCTTCTGCAATGGTTTCATCTGCATTTGATGTTGACTGAATTTCAGTAAGGCAGCTTTTTAAAGGTTGCCAAATTTCATGAACAATGTTTCACTTTGTAGAGTATGGACGAGGAATGTTGACATTGTTATTGCTCCTGAGAATGGATAGACATTGTGGTGACCTGGAGAAAAATGTTGGAATAGCCAAAATTTTAGAAAAAAATATTCTTGCATTCTGTGTAATACTTGCTGCATTTCTAATTATTAAATTGAGTTGATATACATAACAGTGAATGAAATGTGTACTGCTAGAAACTGCTTTTATTTTTGCTTGAACCCCTTTTTTGCCTTTCATGACATTTGCACCATCAAATGTCTGTGCTATCAGTTTTCATCCATTTTCTTGAAGGATTATATCTAATTATTCTACAATAGATTTTGATATGCCATCTGCAGTTTGATTTTCTGGAATAAAAAATCCCCCAAAAACACTCAAATATTTCTTCATTTAACACGTACCATGGAACAATGGCCATTTAAGTGTGCTTCAAAACATCTGTTGTATCATCATTTATGACAGCTACAAACAAAGCTTTCTTAATTTCTGTCCTTATCTCCTCCTGTTGTATTTGTAGTAGGCTGTCAAGTATCTCATTCTGAATGGTTTTAGAAACACCACTGAGAACTGTACCGGTTTCTTAGTGATTATTCAAATCTGGATCTAATTTAGCAAACATAAGAAGCAAAACAATGCATTTTTCACTTTACAGCTGCAGTGCCAACTTTTCCATTGGTCCCATTCAGAATTAAAACTACAAATATATCTCTTGTTCTTGCTTATTCCTGGTGGAGATGTTTGGTTTGTTTTGTTTTACAGCATATCAACCTCAATGGGTTATTTAATGTCAACAAAATTTTTATTGCTGGTAATGTTTTTCTTCAAAAATCTATTTCTGGGAATATTTTTCCTTGAAGAAATCTATACCTGGTAATATTTTTTTCAAAGAATGTATAGCTTTTTGTATTGCTGATAATAATTTTTCCTTCAAAAATTATTGCTGGTAATATTTTTTTTATTACAAAGTATTTCTGGTATTAAAAGCTATTTTTACACAAGTTTAGGTGTCAACTATTTGCCTATAGCTGGGACCCTAACAGGTGCTACCACCCCAGATCAGGCTGGATCTGGGAACACCAGCAGTTAAGAGGTGGTTCCATGTTCCTCAAAACCTCCTGATCAGAGGCTTGCTGTTGGACGTAGTTTATCGTCTTACCCAGGATATGGATGTAGTTTATTGACATACCCAGGAGGGGGAGATATTTGAATATCAAGTGTTGAGCAGCCTCTTTTTTTATGGAGAGACAATTGGGAAAACTTAGTTGTTGAAGTTGACTTACTGTCACAGAACTTTTCTTGGAGATTCAAGTAGATCATGATTAAATTATTAAAATGTTCTATACAATAAAACAGCCAGAAAAAAAAGAGAGAATTAAATAGAATAGCTGGAAGCATGATAGTCATCTCCAGTTTATCACATTCAAGAATATGGTACACGGTTTTTAAGTACAACAGACAGTGTGTCAAAAATAAACACTACCTTATACTCAGACAATAGGGTCAGCACTGTGTGAGCGACAGTGTTCTCTCAAATCAGCATTCAGCTTCTTTCCTTGAACATGTGTGCACACATGCACAACAGACAAACATTGCATTACTGGAACTATGAAGCACACAGTTCCATACAAGAAATTTTGTAATTTTTCATGAATGAGGAGATGGCTACTTTTTACTGAATGAGGGGATCGCTTAAAGATTATATAATCAACAAATATAAAGAAAGAATTAAAAAATTAAAAAAGACTCCTTATATTGAATGTTATCAATAATAATAAGTAAAAATCAGGGTCTGTTTATATTTCTGAGATGAGGTATTGTAATTATTTACATTATTTACATTGTTCGGACTGTTGTCCTCATCTTTATTGCCATATTCACAATGTATCAGCCGTTGTACGCTCTGGTCTTTTTCAATATCTGTCTATATTTCTGAGATGAGGGATTGTAATTATTTACATTGTGCGGACTGTTGTCCTCATCTTTATTGCCATATTCATTATGTTTTGGCCATTGTACACTCAAGCTGAGTGTTGGTTGGATCCATTGACTTGACCCAAAGAGTTGTGAGTTCATTACCTGGCTAACTGCAGGGTGAACAAAAACAGAGAGTTGAGTTAAAGAGAGATAACCAAGACATCCATAAGAGGCATGGTATGTGGAACTAGAACAATCTACCCTGGTGGATGAAATAAAGAGTTGAGTTTGGAATTCTAATAACCTGAAGAAAACCATTTCCAACTTTCTGGCAAAGGGAATTTCGTCATGGTGCTCTTTTTTTCATAGATGGTGCCCAATTGACCCTACTATACTGCACAGTCAACAAAATCAAAAACAAACAATGCACATATGGGAAATTAAAAATATAAAATGGTGAAATTTACCAATTGCACTATATATATATATATATATATATATATATATATATATATATAATTAAACTCTCAGGATTTCATCCTCTTGGGACTACCTATATGGATTACCAAGTTTTTCATAACTTAAAAATATATATATATATATATATATATATATATATATATATATATATATATATATATATATAGTGCGATTGGTAAATTTCATATATATATATCAGTTTTTCAACTTTACTCCTAGAGGTCATATTCCAACATATACCATTTTGGAATCAGGCTGACTCCATGAGCAAATTAAAAACAATCCTGAAATTTTGGATTCTCAAGTTTTCATTACTGCAATTGTTTTCAGTGAATTAATTTCTTCTTTTTTACATGATTTTGCAACAAATTTGTTTGCACAATAACAATTTTTATAAGTTGGCAATAAATTTGCAAAAGTCCCATATATGAAATAAAAATAACTGTTTGTACAGAAATTGATGACCTACATACATCAAATTGTCTTTAAATTAAGTGGTAGCAGAAGAATTATCAAACTTTTAAAAGGTAAGCTTTAATATAAATGCAATTCTTAAATGTAGTGATCAATTTTGAGTTCTTCTGTAGTTTATTGCTGCCTATCACATCTACTCCTCCCTAGCTATTGTGATGAAGGCCTTTGCAGGAGCTAGCTTAAATGCCACCTGATAGGCCAGCTTTTAAGCTAGTATATTATATATAATAGATGTAATATATTATATATATCTATTGTGTGTGTGTGTGTGTGTGTGTATATATATATATATATATATATATATAGAGAGAGAGAGAGACTACTCAAATAAAGAAAAATGATTTGTTTGTACATTTGATGGCGAATGTTTTATAAATGACTGAATGTGTCAGAAGTTTCTCACAGATTTCTCATAGAACATTGCTCCATAGTTGAGACTGATAGCAATCAAAATGTTATTTAAAAATAATCCATATTACACAATGCATGAGATAGCCAATATACTCAAAAATGAAAATATGTTGAAAATCATTTGCACTTGCTTAGTTCGGTTAGTTGCTTTGATATATAACTTCTGTCTAAGGTAAACAAAAAAACCACTGTACTATATTCTTTTAATAACTATGATGGGTAATGGAAAAAAATACATTTTTCTTAACAATTGTGATGGGTAATGAAGTGAAGAATACAAGAGAATGTGAAGCAAGCCAAATGAAACCCTCCCAATCCTAGCAAATACCAGTCTTCATTCAAAGATGATTCTGTCTATTTGGCAGGATTGGAAATGTGTAATCTATTATAAGCTTCTTCCAGTGAAGGAAAAACTGAACAAGTACTGATATCAAGTAGATCAACTGACTAATTGTAAGTAGTAATTATCTGGAATTAGAATATTATTCACTTTCTATTAACTATTAGGATAATGTTAGTTTCTTTGTTGAGCAGGTAGAAATAATTAAAGCTTGACTGGAAAGTGTTCACTTACCTTTACCAAATGTTTGAACCTTCAGATTAGCATTTATTTTAGTTTTTAAAGAAATATCTTCATGAAAAAAGAAAACATTTGAGTTCTTTGGAAGATTTCCAAAGGCATCTAGAGCAAATTCTTTGTTTAGAAAGCTAAAATGTTCTGAGAGGCCAGAATTATGAAGTTTGCTAAAAGATAGCAGAAGACAGTGGAACAAAATTGTAAATATGTTGTTCCATACAGTTAATGTTGAAAAGAAGCAATACTTTTATTCTTTCTTAATAACCCATATACAAATTTTTCTTTTTACATTTCCCACTGGGATGTGTAAGTTATTTGATGAGGTTCAACATTGATATTTTGTATGCTTTTTACTTTTGTCCTACAAAAAAAAAAAGCAATGTAGGCAAAAGAAGACCAACTTATTTTTTTTTTTACCTTGTAGCCAGTGAAGTAATTTCAAAGTAATCCAACCATGAACTATTTGTTACAAATGGATTTACCATTTCACCAAATTGCATTTTTATTTCATATGCATTAGCACACTTAAAAATGTATATCTGCAAATTTTATAATTTAATTTAATGAAAAAAATAAGTTAAATAGAATTTAGCAATAAATTAAAAAAACAAAAAACAAACTATTACCACTCGTTATTTCAATTAATCACTTTTGACTTGCACAATATAGAAAAAATTCACATACATAATAGATTCATTACTGTGGAGGGAAAACTCTACAAAATGTCTATAAGAACATCTCAAATATAAATGTAATTAACTTCAGTATTAAATCCATTGCTTGTGTTGTTGTCATAATTCTTAAACTATTCAGATTAGAGTGAAAGAACCTCATATTTGTTGACCTACTCCAAACACCTACAATTCTATTACTAAAGAAATTTTTTTTGATATTTAATTTCCAACTGTTTACTTTAACAGCATGTTCACATTTAGGACAGAATGTATATATGAAACCCTGAAAGAATGTAGACATAAAGTATTTACCTAGATATTCAGGGCCAGTTTACTACATTATTAGTGAACAGTCAAAATAAATTTACATTCTTCACATTCTACATTTTGTAAATACAAAATATCAAGGTCATTTCTCAGAATTAAATCAGAACTCCCTGTCTAAAAACAGTTAAAAATTGATAGAAACACTATTACATGACTGATTTGTGACATTGACTGATGCGTATTTTTTTAACTACACAAATAATGGAAAAAAGAACTTTTTTAAATCATCTTGTAGCTGATTATTTAATATGTTTATGTAAATATTATTTGAGGATTCTGATTAAATCAAACTTATAATAGCTTATACAAAATAAGCTTATATAATTTTTAAAAAAAAATCAGTTTCCAAACAGTAACAATCATGTCTTACTAGTTTAATAGCTTAATTGGTCTAGATTTATTTTTTTCATAGATGTGTGCACATGCGCCTCTCTCTCTCTCTCTCTCTCTCTAATATATATATATATATATACACACACACACTAGCCAAGATACCTGGCATTACCTAGGTGTCTGCCTGTGGCCTTGCTTGCATGCATCATCCGTTGGTATACTAAGCTATTCCCTACCTCATCTTTTTTATGGTATGTCCTTCGGAAGTGTTTGATTGTTCTTAATAAAGGAATCCCATCATTAAAACCTTTTTGTGTCGTAGTTGCTTGGGGTTAAATTGTCTAAATGTTTTAGGTATTCAGTAAATTTCCTGTGGCCGTAATAACTTTCTAATAGTAAATGGCATTGTTCACAAATCTAATAATCAAACAAAAACACAGATGTAGTGTTAGTTTATTCAACTGCTAGTGCCCCCCCACTCCTTCTTTGCACATTTACTGTAAAGCTGGGGTTAATAAGAGGTTCTTTAGAAATTTTTCCTTTTAATGCTTCAAAAATCCTTCTCAAACAATCTTTGCATCAAAGGTTGTTTGAATACCAATTTAGGATGGAATCATATGAAGAAACTACTGGTTAAATCGCAAAAGCCAATCTTGGACCTTGTTTGTCACGGATTTTGTCCACTTAACTCAAATAATCTAAACCAAACATTCACACAAGACGATTTATGTGTCATGTGTAATTTACATGGCAAATTTGGAAAATATTGAATGAAAAACCAGGGAGTTATGGGCAAAATCTGGCTTTTTGAACAGTTTTTTTTATGGTTTTTTCGTTAGTCCTGCTCACTTCCTCATGTCTATCTTATTTCTTGCATGATAGCAAACTTTTTCTGACATGTTTGAAGAAAGATAAAAAAAAATGAGAAAGTTATTCAAGTTTTTATTTTAAGTAGTATGAAAAAAAACAATTTTTTTTTCAGTTTTTTGCAATTTTTTATGTGAAGCCAATGTCGCAGAAAAACTATCAAAACATAAAAAAAACTACATAAACCTTGTAACATGCACTATGTTTTGCATTAAGTGCAAAGAACATCAACTCATCCAGTAAAAATTTTTTTCCGCATATAACTTTGCATTGATCTTTACAAAAAGTTATACCTACTTTCAGTTTTATTGATTTTTCTGCCAAACTCTGGAGATTGAAAAGTTGGTCTTGACCTATTTTGGTAAATTTGCAACATGTATGTACAATTTTGTCAAAATCTGTTGAGAAATGTGGATGTGAATAAATAGCATATACATACACAGACAGACACCTTCTGTTTTTTATATATATAATAAACAGTTTGGTTAATTATAAAATGGAAAAATAAATTATTTTGTATGTAATTTTGCTAAATTTTTATGTATAACAAGACAATTAAATCTTTTAAAAAATATATATATCAATTTCTTTCCTACACTGTTATTTGATTTTGATTTCTTTAGCTATGCCAACAAAATCTGAAGATGATTGGGGTGTTGCTACTCCTGACAATATACAACGTCAACATTGTAAAAAGTTTCAAATCAGTGGTGAAGGCTTCCTTGGACAATATACCCCACTTTTCACATCTAAACTTGAAGAAAAACTGTTAAATGAGTGAGTGAACTATTCTTCTAACCTTACCACAAAATTTCTTCTTTTTATACCAATTTTTTTTTTTTTTTTCCCCACTGAAATAGTTAAATGTTTCTAATTTTTGCCAGAGGTCAGTGTTCTGGTCAAGGTAAAACCCATGATTTCAATGCTGACTTTCTAAGCAAGACAGACCCTTTCTGTTATTAAACTAGCATAATACAGTGTGACGACAACAATGTACTTACTACCTACCATCCACCAGCGATAAATCCGGTTGACACTGCAAATCTGATAAAATTGCCTATTTCTTATCAAATATATTCCTTTGTGTTACACTCTGCTCTATAAAAAAACCTATAAAAAATATGTTATTAATGTCTATTAATTAAGTTTTCTTCTCGTTCCGCAAAAACTGCGCTTACACCCTTTTAACATCACATTAACAAAATATAATCAAAGGATACATGTATAAGTCAGAATACATTTAGTATGTATAAATAACAATAAATATACAAGTTCATAATGAATTATCTATAATGAGTTAATTATATAAGATTCATTTGTATTTTGTTTGAACATTTAATTTGTAACCATTTTAATTAATATCTGATAATAATTTTGGACAACATTTTGGGGATTTTTTTAAAAAACAAGTTCAGTGTCCCAATTTAAAAAAAAAAATTATGAACTTTTAGCAAATATTTTCATCTTGCTAATATCATCCACTGCTGTCTTTAACATAACCCTACACAGAATGTATAAGCTAACGTTTTTGGTGCTTCAATACAAAATTAAACTCATTAATAGCACCTTACAACCCTACAAAACTATTTACTGCATTATAAGCAATCATAAGTCTCCTTTTTTTTCACTTAACTTTTTAGAGGTAGATACAACTGTACATTTCTACTGATATCTTTCATTCAACATCTGTCAATCTCAAAAGTCAGTTGTGTTCTTTATGGAAATCACTCATCTAAAATATTCATCTTCTCTCTATAATAGAATATGGCATAAATTTAAAAGTAGCTATCTTAAGCTGAAGGCAAAATCATTAGCATTAGTATTCCCTCCCCACCACCACCACATACTAATCCTAAATAGTAGATTAAGGTTAGGAACATTTGCCATTTTCAAGATATTATTTTCTTATTTATTACCATTATTTTTGTCTTTTTGTTTTATTTGGGTGGTTTTTGTTTTTTCATAATAGATTTGCTGTGAACATAAATTAAACTGGTTCAGAAAAGCTGTCTTACATTTGCTAATAATAAAATGATTCTTCTTTTTGTTTGGTATTTTTACATCAACAGAATTAAAATTTAAGACTCAAAAGTATTCCTGTTCATCCATCAACTCAATTCATAGTAACTGTTATACCATTTTAAACCTACCCCTTTTTTTTCCCTTTCAGCCCACAGTATATGAAATCCATTGAACATGAAGTCCTGATGCTATCTAAAGCAAAGAAAAATTTAAATAAATATCTTGATTCTCTCAGATGGCTTGAAACTATTTATAAAACATGCAAGTACTGGACATCTGAATCACTTTCTTCATTTAAGAATTTACCACCACAAGACATAGAGGTAATCATTATAAATTATCAATTTCTTGGATTATCTCCCAATTTTATTTAATGTTAATCTGCTTTATGTTGGTCATGTTTTTGATTTGTCAAGAAATTACCCCTATCATTAATAAGATTCATATATCCCTGAATCATAAATTTGGAAGGGATATAAATTTCATTTTGTTCAATTCAAATTTCCTTAACCAGTTTAAATTTATATTAATGTTCTATTGTTTTTTTGTTTTTTTTAAATAACCCCTTTAAAAATTTCCTTTTGTTGAAAAAATATGATGTTCATACTGTAAATATCAAACATAACAAATGAATAACATAATTACTTTCAAAATATTTGCTGGGATTCTTTCAGTTTAATATTTACTGCAGTTTGAGAGATTGTTTTCTAAATATTACAAAAGATCACTTTTCAAGTTATAAAATTTATTTTTAATAATATCTTCTAGTTAATTAAAAAAAAATCTTCTAGAAGTACTAAAAATAAACTCTTATAAAATCATCCATATCCCACATTGTTTCAGCATTAATTTAGTAGGAAGAGGTAATAAACTGAAAAGTCTAAATCATATATTAATTATAAGGAACTCTTGAATAATATCACTTTCAATACATCTTTGAGTAAATTACATTCATTGTAAAATACAGTCTCCAATGGTGAAAATATTTTATTTAATGCCATCTTTTTCTTTTGTATAATAATATCTTCTAGTATTTTGTGTCTTTCCTTGCAGTGAGTACTAAACACTATTTTGGTATTATCTACTGATATTTTCCTTATATTAATAGTTATATTTTGCTTGTTTGTGATATGCTAATTGATATGTGCATGTATTTCACTAAGTTTCAATAAGTAACAAGTTAACCTACAAAAGTATGTGGTGCTTGTGTGGCCAATGTAAGAATATAATGTTTTTTGATGATTATTATTGAAGATGAGAATTTATAAACATAACAGGATTTTTAAGGTCCCTACTTATTGGTTTCTATCATTTGAAATGTGTTCATATACCTTTGGGAATGTTTCCTGATGAAGTGGCATAAACATTATCATTTTGGTAGTAACTAAATGGTTTCATCCTGGAATTGGACAGGTTGTTTGTTCCTTTTGTAGCTTTTCCATGCATTAAAACAGTTTTTCTGCAAACTTTCAACTAATTTCTCACCTCATAATTCTTCATACCAGCCATTTTCAATGTGACAATTTGATCATGTTTTGTTTGAGCCACCATATTAAACTGCAAAAAATAAAACAAGAATGGTAGGAAGCCATATGCAATATTTTTTTTTTATTCTTACAAATAGATATGTGTTCAATTTGTTTAACCCCTTTCCTGATATAGATGTGTGCATATACATTCTTATTGAAAGTCTTTTTCAGACACAGATGAATAAACACATCCAAAACAACATTCAAAAACTCATATATCTGGCAGAGGTGTTAGCCACCATTTGAGTACTTCAAAGTGCCTCAATTACTATATTAAAAACAAATTAAAAAAAAAAAATTGTCTGAAAATGAAATATTTATCTCCAAATAATTGGCAGGGAAGGGGTTAAATAATGAGTAAATTTTTATGCCATACTGATTAAAACTTTTTATGCCATACTTATGAAAACTATTTACCAACATGTTTATCCCATGTGTGACTATCAAGGCAAAGAAAAATTTTACTTTTGTCTTTTATTTATATTATTTTCCCTGATATATTTTATTTATACCTGAATTTTATACACACACATGTACAGTCAATGACAAAATTATTTGTACACCCATCAATTTTGAATATTTTTATCCATTTTTCAGAATCTAATGCTCATATGATGCCAGGTTTTTTATATGTTAATAAGCACAAAAAAAAAAAAAAAAAAAAAAATATAAATTTAATTTTCAGACTAATAGGTTAAATAGAACAAATTTGACAAGTGAATTATGCAAAATAGGAAAAAACAAAATTATTCATACAGTATGAAAAATAGAAAAAAATTAAACATGAAATTGATGAGATTTGAACAAGCCTTTTCTGGGATTTCTTCAATAGTTACATGTTCTAATTCCTGAAGGTTTTTTGGTGACTGACAATTTATTCGAACTTTCAATTCTTGCCATAGATTTTCAATAGGATTCAAGTCGGGACTCATTGAAGGCCATCACAGAACTGTAATCTTCTTTTTCTGAAGCCATAGAGTCACTGATTTAGACATATGTTTGGGATTGTTATCTTGCTGGAAAATAAATTGCTGACCTAGATGAAGATTTTGCACTGATAGTTGAAGATTTTCATCTAGAATTTTGATATAGTCTGCAGATTTTCTTATTCCTCTTATTGCAATTAATTTTCCAGTCCCCCTTGAAACAACCCTAAAACATCATCAAGCTGCCTTCATGTTTTAATATTGCCACTGTGTTCTTTAGGAATGCCTCACCTTTCGTGCACCAAATCTTCTGTACATCATTATGTCCAAAAAGCTCAATATTTGTTTCATCACTCCATATCATCACTTGTTCCCAAAAGCAATTTTCTTTGTCCAATAATGTTTTGGCAAAATTAAACCAAGCAACAATGTGACATGGTTTGTGAAGAGCGGTTTGTTGTGGTCAGTTTCCATACAACCCATTTCTATTTAAACAACGTTGTATTATGTGAGTACTTACACTGATACGTATCATATTCAAATTTTTGGCGATGTCTTTCAAAACAACTCTTGGGTTTATATTAACCTCGCAACACAGTTTTCATGCACTTTTCGGTTTTCTTCAGCACCCAGGCAAATTCTCTGTTGTGCAAAACTGTTTAAACTTCTTTATAATGGACTTTACCATGGATATAGAGATAGCTAACCACTTTGAAATTGCACTGTAACTAATATTCACAATTGATGGGTGTACAAATAATTTTGTCATTGACTGTATATAGATAACAGGAAACGGTATAAGGAAATAGAACTGGTAGAACTGTTTCAAAATTATCTATTATCTACTAGTGTTATTTTTCATATACTTAAGTAACCTTCTCTAAAAGCATACTCACTTACTGTCTCTCATGCACACACAATCCTAAATCAGTCTGACAAAATGTACATTCCAAAAGCAGACTCTTGTGAATTTTTGCAACAAAGAATTACAACTGCAAAAATATTTGGTAAAAGTATTCATAAAAAAAAAAAATATTCAATCAAATTCAAAATAGGAAAAATCCTGGATGACATATTTATCTATTGTTTATTTTCAGTTGTCTGGCCTTTTAGAAAAAATAAATCACACTCTTGATTATTATTGCAGCAAAGGCTTGGAGAGCTTAATGCTTGGGGCAAAAAAGTGAGAGAAATGGATGTCACCTTCATAACGAAAAACCAACTTTTTTCAGTTGATTCCATTGAGATCTATGATTACCTCATTCCTCGGCTGGATAGCATCTATCAACAATTGCTGAACTATGTCCTCACAGAGAGCATGAATAATTCTGTGTTGTTCTGTGAGAAAATACATCAAATGGCAAAGGTAAAGAGATATGTGTGTTTGGTATAATGGAAAGCAGCTTGGAATGAGAAACAAGTTCAAATTCCAATCAAACTTATTAAATTCACTTACATGCAAAAACCCTTGGGAAAGGTATGAATCCATCTCTTGCCCCAGCTATGGGTTAAATAGTGGGAATTGGATCTGGAAAATCATTATCTTCAAAAAAATATTAACACAGTATTCATTTGCCAAAAAAAAAAAAATTTCTTACAATTCCAAATATGTTTCAGTTTTAAATAACCCACAAAGGGTTAAGCTAGAAAAAAAAATTAATCAGTATATTGATTTGATTTTAGAAGTTTTAATCTTTGTTATCTTCTAATAACATATTGTAAGAATTTAGAAGGAACAGCAGACAACTGATACGAATAATACTTTTCCTTTCTGTGAATGTTGTTCACATCTATTAACTTAAATGTAAAGAAAAGAAACAAAATGAAGTACTTTCATTAGTCATACACTCATTTCTTTATAAATTACACTGGACAGCAAAGATTTTGCTACTGGGATAAATTCCAGTTTACTAATTCTAAATCCATTCCCAGAATTTTGTGTTATGCATCTGTATAAATGTTGTTGTTGCCACTGGTTAGCAGATAATTTTTTTTGTTGTTGACCAATATTATAAATCTTTAAAATAACTAAAAAAGATTAAAGAATAGCAGTGATATGTTTATAATTTCATGAGTAATATCAAATTACTGATCAGAATTTTGTTAATAGCATAAGCATAGTGTTATATATAAGAGAGAACAGGAGAATTAAAATAATTCTAATTTCAATTTAACAAGCATAAAAGATTTTTTCAAGGCATCACTTATTTAAAGTAATATTTAAAGGGAAATAACATTATAAAATATTTTAAGAACTTTAGTTTTGTGCTTGTATCTCTTGTTGAAAATGCTTCTATTTTTAGGTTCTTGAAGGAAAACCAGTTGATGTCAAAGATTTTGCTGAGTATGTCCATATTTACAAGAATTCAAAAGTAAATATACCAGAATACAAGAATCTTGTTGATTACACAAAAGCCATCTTTGAAGTAAGTTCATATTCCTCTTTATCATCAGCATCATCATCATTTAAAAATGTCTCTTTACCAGATCTCCATTTAGTATATAAAATCTAAGCATAACCACCAAGTTGCATTTATGAGGTTATTAAAAGATGAACCAAATTGTTACAAGAAATGTTACTCAACAAATGATTCAAAAGTGATTGTTTCAAATCTTAGAACTATCCAATGAAATTGTTTCTCTGTCAGAAATTGAACCTATTTACAAGATCAGTCACTCGATACTGGTTATTTACATTTTTAGAAGAAACTAGATAATTTGTATGTTCATTGGAAGAACAAGTCTTGTTGGAATTGTCCTTTCTAGGTTTATGATTCAATAAACTTATTTCAGATTGTTAATCTTTCTTTTATCATCCAAAGGTCAACTGTGATTGGCCAGCAATCAGGTCCCTTCTTCTTCTTTTTTTTTTTTTTTTTGCAATGAAATAATGAATATTTATTTGTCAGCTATTTTATCATTTAAAACAAGAATATGCTCAGTACCACAGTAGGTTTTTATTATATTTTTCCTGTTAATGGCCAAACAATAGTAGTTAATATTCCCCTTGTAGATATTTGCACCTGGTCTTCATTTAGTCCTTCAGACACTACTGGGATTAATACCTGCTTTCTATTGAAGCCATTTAGTATCTGGAGAATTCCCATCGTTTTATTTTTTTTATCTACACATGGTTGAGCAAATTCCTGCACATTGGCACTGAATGTGTTAAATGTTAAAGATAGAATCTGATTAAAGAAAAAAAATAAGTTTTGTAACTATTTTTTCACATCTTTGTTTCTTTATCTAGATTATATGGTTAAATTGTAAAATAGTCTACATACATATTAAGAATACTTGTTAATGCTTTAATACAATCTATAGACATTTTTAATTATCATTTTTAGATGATAAAGGTTCATTTTACTAAACAGAAAAGAGAAATGCTTTGATTATAAAAAAGAAATCATAATTTTTTGTCTGCTGTATTTTCTTATGAACAAAAGAACTGCAATTTTAGATTCATTTCATAAAAATGGATATTTTTACACTGCAAATTTTTTAAGATATCTTTTTCTTTTTTTTTTTTATAGTAGATCACTAATAATTGATAATTCGACAGATTGACTTTTTTCTTTCTACTCATCAGGAAAAGCAGTTTCTTTCATTCCTTTCAACAATTCATTGCCAAAACATACACTGACATTACTGCTCTTAAATAAAAAGAAATCACAAAATTCATAATTTTCCTTTTTTTTTTTTTTTTTTTTTGTCTCTTTTTATAAATATTTTATATTATCTCAGCAACTTCTTCGCCTCCAGAGGCTAGACTGAGTATTAATGACAGTGGGCTGGATGATGGCCATAAAATAATAATTATGGAAAATTACATATGCTAAAATTTAATCACTAGTGTTGACTATACTTAACAATAATTTGTATTAACCATAGATGAATGTAGTTATCAAAATACATCATTTATTCAATTTAAGACATCATTAGAATCATTTGTTTAAAATTTTTTGAAAATACACAGCAGCCAAAAATTAATGAGGAACTTAATGTTGTCATTATCTTTTTGCATGATTCACTAAGTTGGTATACACCCAACTTGGAAAACTATATTTTACACAGAAATCAATCAATGAAACACCCTTAGAATGATATTTAGATCTCAATAAGTCATGACTCTGCATATCAATCAATTCCATTTGAATACATTACAATACTGTCTCCTACCTCCACATTAAATAGTAGTGAATACAATTTAAACTGACTTACATGCAGACGAAAGTCAGCAAAACTTGATGCAAATTCATTTCTCAAATCTTGGATTATATTCACAAATACCTCTCCATCCTGTGGTTTCCTTCCTTGAGATGATAGAAAATGTGCATGATTTTTATTTCAAAGTTGATGTTCCCACAATTGTATTTTTTTTTTCAAAGGCAACAATATGGTTATACATTTAATTTATGAGCTGAGTTTTACCTTAAATTTGTAAATTTAAGTTATTTAAATGAGTTACAATATCCGCAATAATTGCCAAAGTTGCAAGACAATAAGAATCTCAAAAATGTGAACTACCCACATGTTTGCTTTCAAGAAATATCACCACCTTTTTGCATAAGGCATGTACTCTTTATAGCTTTGATCCTTGGCTAAGCCAGTGTGCATCATAGAAATAAGCAAGGTCACTATATTCTGCCTCAATATCTCACAAAAATTGTTTAAATTGACCATAATTTAATCCATGAGATAGAATCAAATTCACAGACTTCCCAACAATAATTTCAAAGATTTGGCACACAATGTCTCTTGATGGATAATGCAATGAATTTTATCAAGTTTGTGTGATTCCAAGGTTTTCCATATGTTCTTGTAGGGCAACAGAGCCGTTTTTTTGTCCTACCATTGCTGGAACAGTATCAGTTCTGATGCCAATTAGCTTTGAAAAATCAAACTCCATTTCTGATATGATTTTCAACAAAGCTTCAATGATATCTGTTCTGGTTATGGTTTCCTTCATAGAAATTAACAGAATAAATTCTTCAAAGATCTGAAAAGTTTAAGTCACTCCTCACACAATGACAGCAAGTTGTGCAGTGTCACTTAAGTCTGTATTCTTCTTGACTGCAATTGAAAAATATTCAAATTCAATGCAGGTGTTGATTAATTGATTTTTTAACATCTGCTGATATTTCTTCAACCCACCGTGTGACCATTCTCAGAGACAGGCTGATAGTTTTCTTCTGGACAAACAGTATCCCACACTGCCAGTAAGCATTCTTTAAAAAAAAATCACCATTTTTTAAAAGGTTTCATCTTTTCAGCAATGTGTTTTAGGACTTCATAGCTGGTAATTATATTTGACACATTTTTGCCTTTTCTGTTTTTCAAAACTAGACTTCAACTGCTCAACATCATCTTTCCTTGTTTGTTCAGTAAATTTTCTAAAATTTTCACAATAATATTGTAATATTGTGTCTTGTAATATTTACTACCTTATTCAAAGCAAAGCTTTCTAGACATATGAAACAAACTGGGGTTTCACTGTGCTCAATGAAGAAGTAATCTAATGTCCAAGTATCTTGGAAAATTCAGCATTCATCATGTACCTTTCTTTATTTTGCATTCATAGTCATTGAAATTTTAAATAAAACTATTAGTTTTGTACAATAAAAAAGAGCTGAATTCAAGAATACAGAACCAAATTATATAAATAGATTAATTTTATAAATGTTTAAACAAATTAACCATTGTTTAAAAGGAATAATTTGAGAGATTTTATATATATATATATATATATATTTTCTTTTTTTAATGGCAGACCTTTTATTGTATTTGAAAGCCCCGATTCTTACAGGTTGGGTCAGATCCAGCCCACAGGCCATAGGTTTCGAATCCCTGTCTTAGACAGATGCTTATAAATTATATGTTGATATGATTTTCAAATGTTTAACAATGAATTGAATTTGCTTACCAACTTCTTTTTTCTTTTTAATACCTCTTTTGTGTACAGATTGTTCGAACCTACCATCGGCCTCTAACAGATGAGGAATTTCAACATGAGAATAATTTGTGGGTTCAATGGGAGGTACTTCAAGTCATGATGCAAAATGTATCTGAATTTGTCACAACTCAGTCACCCATCATGGAACGTCAGTTGGAGGAAATGTTTAAGGTATTTTAGTTTTATTAGTAGTCAAGAAGAATATCTAGTATGTTTTGGAATACTTCTATGAATTTATAAAAAGAAAAAAAGTAAAAATGCTGGTTACTAATTTTAGTAATGAAGAATGGGATAATACTATTTAATAATAAAAGGAAATAAGACTGGTGTAAGACTGCAAAACTTATTTGGGTGATCATAGCTCTTTACAACTTACTGTCTTTTGTCCTTTTACCATCCCTCTTTGTCATTGTTCTGCCATCCATTCACTCGAGCCTTTTAAATAGTTTACTCACTGTTTCCTCGATTCTCTTGCCTTCACCATGTTCTCTGTGTGTGTTAAATTATCCAAGCCCTCTTTCCTCATTATGTGTTCCAGAAATTTCATCTGTCACTTTCTGATTGCCTCAATTTCCATGTAGTTCTTATTTTCCTTAAAACTTTCTTTATAACATCAATAACTCCCTTCTACTACACATCATGTTCTATTTCTTTTGAAGAAGGGTTCATCTTTTTTGGTCATTCATCTCTTACCAGCTATGGGTTAAATAGTAGGATTAGATAAAATATTGTTATTCTCAAAAAATTTTAATGCAATATTCACTTGAAAAAAAAAAGAAGAATTATTCTTACAATCCAAAATGTTTTGACTTTAAATAACCCACAAAGGGCTGATAATTAAAAAAATCAAAGCAATTATCTTTTTGGTCTAAGCTACAAGCAGGAATGAGTGAAAGACAATTCTTTATTAATTATTGGTTCTGTTTTTGGGTTTGTTTTTTTGGTGGTTTTTTTTTGTTTTTTCATGAAAATACAAATTCTTTTTCTGATTCCTTTGTCTATAGTTAACCTCTAGGGAGATGTGGGTTTTGAATTCTAATAGGCACATTATTTGTTTTTATATGTATGACACTAAAAAAAGAGACAGTTGGTGAGATCTCTCCTCTTTTGAACATTAACCACTCAGGCTGCTGTGTAGATTCTAACAGATGGTTGGATGATACCAACTTTGGTCACCATTATAACACCACTATTCCATGGCTACACTCTTACTTATATAATGTACATCGTATAAGGATTCTCTATACATATTGCTTTGGCTACTGTGACACCTGTATTAGTTAGTCTGAAGACTGACTCCAAGTGGCTACCTGTCTTACTTCTGACCTGAAGCTCTTTTATAGTAATGGACTAGTTGATATAATTACCAGGGATGTACTATTTACTCCACAACATCCCCGCTTTTGAGATTAATACTTTTATAAATATTTTTATTTTTTATTAGTATTAGAATCTCCCCATCCTTTTTCTGGAGAGTTCACCAACATGCTTGGCTTTGTAGTGTTTCCATCTCAAATCCTCTTTCAGTTCTTCAGTAAGCTTTCTT